GGTTCATCAGGAATTTCCAGAATGTTTCAATAATTTTTGATAATTGTTGATAATAATTAACGATTCTGTCTCATTATACTCGTGTACAACCTCTTCATCGAGAAAAATACTGGAAACTAGCAAGTTATGTCACCCACATCACGATAAATGTCAAACGCAAAATTACAGTAGACCAGCTATTTTTTAAAATTCTGGCCAAATTGGTATTATTTTCGTAACCTAGCAACCGATATAATTTTTCAATTACATCTTGAGGTGCCCTTCTAGGATTGGTGGATTTAAGAGTCGAATAACTTTCTTATGCAAGCAAAAATTACTTCTTCGGCTGCACTTTTTGGCAACCTATTGGCGCCGGCATTTGACATTTTTCTCTGGGGCGCGAGTTCTGGCGCAGCCTGTATAAATGTAAATTTTTTTTAACAGATATAATTTTTTAAACATTTTTTCCATGTTCCTGGTATCTTATCTTACTTGAAATTTTTCTCTAGGGCGCGAGTTCTGACGCGTCCTGTATATAATTATATTTCGTAATCTTGGATTATTTAGTTTTAATAGATAGTTTGCTACTTGTTATTGAAATAATTTTCAATTTAATTGATATTGTTTTTCACCAACTAAAAGATTATAGTAATTTTTATTACCCAATCTCATCATATTATTAGGTGGTAAAATATTCGATTTCTGGATCGCAGATCACTGTTTTCATCACGATTATTTTCAAATTTTCAGTGTACATAGTGAAAATTCAAAAAATCAGAAAGATCGCTGTTTAAAAAAACACAATAAAACAAAAATTATTGTAATAACCATTTTAAAATTCTTAAGCATCTGTGCTATTTTTTTTAACAACAGACGGTAATCTTTTGTCACAAAATTCAAGCACATTTCTGCACGAGCCATTGACTAAATTGGCAATTAGCGTCAAAATTCCAGCTTTTTTCGTTACCTATTCAACTCCAAACAATCAAAACAAACTCTTTCACCTCATCTTGCCATCAATATTCATAAAGGTTGCGTTTTATTTTTTAATTAAGTCGGATGTTTCGTACCCGTTATGAAGAGTGTTTTCGATCTGTGAAAGATGCACAAACAGTGAACGATTGGCCGTCGAGGAGAGCGGTGCGACGGCTTGTGGATACTTTCATCTCGAAGATCGCGTTAGTGCAACAATCATGAGTGATGCATAAAGAACATGTGTTCGTGTCGGAATCTACCGTTCAAATCGCCAGGAAAACACACGGTAATTCGCGTTATTATAGGAAATCGTGCATTAAACGGCGAAAATTCATTGAAAAATAGATCGAAAATTTTACTGTTATGTCGGGGGAAAGGGGCAAGAGCCACATGCGCTGGAACATGCCGGAAATCATTAGAAACAAATAAATTGGAGAGGAAATTGAATGCTGAGTATTCGGTTTCAGTTAATGCAGTTTCAACGTGCAATGAAAGAACAATAACAATAATTGATTCCTTCGTAAAGAACTGTTTATGGTTATTATTTTTATACCCATCATGCACCGTTCAATCATTTTAAAAGTAATTAATAAAAAAATATTGAAAAGTAATAAAAAAATAAATACATACATACAAATTAACATTCTACTGTGCCTCAAAAACTTATTATTAAAATATTATATTAAATTATTAAAATATTTTCCTCAATTGCTGATCACTAAAGGCGCCCTCGTAATTAAATTTCTTATGTTAATTTTTAATTATATAGGATATTTCAGAAGTCGCACTACAGAGAAAAATGTAAAGTAAGAAAAAATGTTAAAAAAATTCTACCTATAAAAATTTTGAAATTATGGGAGTTTAAATTGTGCACTTCGACTTTATTTCTGTTGAAAAAATGATTTTACATGTTTTTTTTCTCCTGCAAGCTATTACCTAAAAGATGAAACAAGGAAGCCGTATCCTAAATTGTAACTATGTTTAAATTATTTTATGGCTTTTATTGGCAAAATTTTTGTACTTTTACTGAAGAATTATGAAAAAACATATACACTAACACTAAATAAAAGTCAAAAATTTTTGACAGATAGAATTTTTTTTATGTTTTCATATTCCTGGTATATTATCTTATTTGAAATTTTTGTATTATTGTTACTAACTCTAATAAATCTTGCCACCAAAAAAAAAAAAACATTATAACTTTTTTTGTTAACAAAATTTCAAAAGACTATAAGACTAAATTTATATTTAAAAAATGGTGGAGGAGCCGGTTTTGTCTTTTTAATACATATTTAATACTAGCGTTAAACATTCTTGCAAATAAATTAATTCTCTAATAATTTCAACGTTTTTTCCTCTTAATAGCCTAGAATTACGTGTTTCCTGAATCAATTTAGTGCACCTGCAATCTGTCCATGTCAAGAACGTGGCCTTTGCTTTTCAGACTAACGGTTTAAGAATCCCACTAATCATAAACCCGTGCCGTTTATAAATCCAGACACTAACACACGATTAATTTTTTTTTCGATACCATCACAGGATGTCACGGTGCTGGTTCGACCTTCGCACCACATAGCGCAACCCATTTTTCCAAGCACTTTATTAAAATCCTTGCTCAATTTCCGTCGTTAAAACTAAAAAATTTCATAAAAATTTACAATTCTAATGACACGACGCTGTTATCGGACAAAAACCGTTGCAGAAACCGGTAAAAATTATTAATCCAAAGAGTTGCGAAAGCTGATCTTACCAGATTGATCGGCTTGATAAACGACTTTCGGATCATTTTAATTGCAATAAATGTAACTCTTACAAAACTGATGATTTTTCTAGACAAAGTTCGAATTGTTATTGTTTAGAGAAAGTGGACAAATGGTTAAACCTAATTTGGGATTGTAATAAAACTAAAGAAGCCGCTAGTTTTTAAGACCATAAACACATCTGCTAATGGAATATTAGAAAGTCATTTAAAGAGGATAACGATTTTTTGTTACTTAGATTTTCCTGTAACTACCAGTTACTTACATATTACTATGAAATTTTCATTCAATTGGCGTAAATGCGTAATTTAAAACTTTCTTCGATTAAACAAAATGTTATTCAAGATTTAGGATTCGTGTACTACCGGAATTTTTTAATTCATTCGCTTTCGCATATTCATTAAATTAATGAATGATTGCGCCGATGACAAATATTCTGTTTACTTCTTAAAAATATTCATTGATTAGATTTATTTCTTGACCCTGAGACAAGTAATAAATTAATTAATTTGGAAAGGCGAAAAACGCTTAATGGTTTCTCCGAGGGTTCTTCTTACTTCTACCATTTATTTTTTAAATATAGGTACCTACTTACTGAACATAAAAACTTAATTTTATCACAACCACAAGCTTTTGTTGTCCCATGTTTTTGTTGTTTGCATAAAATACAGCTTTCTTCAAAACTGGATTACTTTAAAAGTTACAAATATATATTTTAACAATAATTTTTAAATAATTAATGTCGCTAATTGGCTGTCATTCAAAAACACTATGATGGCTAAAATCGGATAACGGTATTATAAGAATAATTGTTATTTATTCGACGAATTTGAGTGTAAATCGGACGCTTTATTTCACGAGTGGATTATTAAACGAAGTGGAATAAATGAACCGATTTACACAAAGACGAGTTGAATACAACATTTTATTCTTTGAATCAGACTCAACAAGGTTTAAAATGGCTTTAAATCTGTTAAAAATAATCAAACGTTTCGTATTGAGAAATGCCAAACAGTTGTCAAAACTTCCTTACACAGGAGAAAAACCGTAAATTTTGATTGTCGAAGAATAAAATATGTAACTTAAACAACAAATCACCCAAATATAATGATTATAATACCCATACAAAATAAAAGCAAATATCTTTTTTGTCTTTTACATTAGCCAATTAATCAACTGCTAATAGATAATAATGTTTAAAATGGCACTGAAAGCAAAAGTTTGAAGAAAATTTCTTCATATAACTATTTCCGAATGATTCATCTAGGTCATATATTTTTCTCTTCAATTTTTACAAAACTTTTTTTCTTTTCATCATTTTAACACATTAACAAAAGATGTTTATTAGCTTGCTCATAATTAAATAATAATTTATCCAAGTAAGCTAAATTACTATTATTGTAACGTTTTCTCAAACTGTTTACTTTTAAGGTAATAATTAGTGGTAAGTAATTAAGTTTTATCTATTTAAATATAGTAGGCAACCGTTTCGGACAATAAATTTTAACCATATTATACGGATGTTAAATATTTTTACTTTAATAAATTGCGACAGATTAATAAACAAGTTTCGAGTTATTAGGTATTCAAGCAAATATAAATCTAATTCAAAAATTAACAATAAACGACTATTTTTGCACTTGAAATTTAAGAAATAGTTGTTTTACTTTAAACCTCAATTCGTAAAAATAAAAAAATCATCCTTATAGAAACTAAAAAAAAAAGATTTAATTTGTAGTGCCTCCAAATGCCTGTTTGTTCAGATCTGTTAAAATAAAAATTTCAAGTAAGATAAGATACATGGAAAAAATATTTTAAAAATTTTATCTGTCAAAAAAATTTCACATTTATTTTTTGAGATCATAACTTCGAAAATTTTCTAGATGATTTTTAAACATTTTTTTTCATGTTCCTGATATTTTACCTACATGGCATTTTTCTCTGGCGCACCTGTATATTATCTTTGTAACCTAAATAAAAAAATATTTTCTATGATTTCTTAATTGTTGTATACATTTTATTTTAAAATAAAAATCATTTCAAATTCTTGAAAAATACACAGATTCACTTGAAAAATGTGAAGTCAGTCACGCTAGATTCATCGCTTTCTAAAGCGCTCATTAGAATGCAATAGCTTAGTCAACCAACAAATCAGGTTTGCATTATGTGTTGCAGACACGGCAGGCTGAACGTTCTTCGCTGGTTACTTTGGGAGGCGGAATTCCGCGGCGGCAGCAACATGCCGGCCTTAGATCGCCCCACGAACACCACTCTAGCTCTCCATTACGCTGCCGCCAGAGGATGTCTAGACTGCGTCCGTCTTCTGGTCGACTCGACTCCGGACTTGAGGTAAGGCTCCGGAATTTCTCGTACCAGCCCCGTTACGCTCCGTCAAAACATTCGACAAATTAATTGAGATGCCGTCACGAGAAGATGTACCAGAAGTACGGTAATTATGATGTAGTATGATAATTGCCGCTCTCGCTGCCAATTACGACAAATTTATGTTTGTTTGTGACGGTAATTACATCATGATTGGATTTTTATTGGTTGATTATGGGACTCCTTAAGCAGTGATGCTGCAAGTTTTGATTAAAAAAATAATAATAAATCACATAAATAGTCTTTCTTTTTTCAATCTAAATCGAAACATTTACTTCGCTTGCAGCTAGTTGTTGCAAAACCCTTTCTCTGACCAACAACTACATTATTTATGTTTTGATGTATTTTTTTAAAAAGTAAAGTCAGTTAATTAACACAAATACCACAAAAGTTTAATTGAAAACGCCTTAAACTGCAATAATTTGCGAGCTTTGAAACTACTAGTCATTGAATATTCTGTGTTTAAGACACTCAAATTAATTAAATCAATGCTTTTGACTTTCATTTGATATCACAAGAATTACTGTCATAATTTCAAAACACATTCGTTATTAATATGAAGGCAACAGCAATGAGACGTAAATGTCTTCATTTTACTCAAGCTGGGTCAACAAAAAAGTGAAAATGTAATGAGGCAGAAAATCAGTGTCAATGTGTAAAGCTACGTCAAATATCCGTATCGAAAAAACATATTTTTTTAAGTTCGACTTGATTGCTTTTGTGAAAACTGTCTCCAAAGGGAAAGCAAATACTGATAACATTATTGTTATTAAAAATTTCTTTATTTAATTACTCGACTCAAGCAAACATCGAATGGCATATCTCTCGAAATTCTTCTCTAGCGGTAGATTTATTGTCCAAACTTATCCATTGTGAAAAGATAATTCGAAATGGTACTTGCGTGACTTCGAGACATTTTTCCCAACCTTGCTGACAACAATTAGATAATTTCTCCGATTTTGGTTAAGTTCAATGTTACCGCTAGCTAATTAGTTTTTCTTCCTCGGTGGCAACAATGAAAATTTAATCAGAATAAGAGAGAGTCGTCTGAATTAATTAAATTAATGATCACTTTTGCATGTAATTAAGTTGGTTATTTATTTACCCAACGTTTAACCCACTTCATGGTCCTTTGATTTATAAAATAAATCTTTTAATTGCTCTAATCGTAACGAAGCAGTTAGAAGTAATTGCTATCAATGAGCCCTTTATAATCGCATAATAAGTCCGATACAGTTTAAATACGGTTGTAGAAAACAACATAAACCATCTGTTGGTTTAAATGGCCGATATCTGGGTCGACGTCGATTTTCCCAGATAATTTATTGTGCATTTATGTTCGAAAATGTCGTACCGTTGTCGTTATTATTCAATGTTGGGCCGTTACGACAACTGTATTTAGAAAGTGTCAACGAAAGTAAGATCTACTTTTCAATTTTCAAATCAAAATTATCGTCTACTTGCGATTTCTTCTACAACAATAGTTAATCTCTTGAGTCGTTTGGAAGCTTGTCGCTTGTCTCAGCGTTGAAATTACTCAGATTAATGTCAAACTTTCCTTCAGAATTTTTCTTGTTCAACTAATTGCTTGCGAATTTAGTGCCGTGGGGGTACATTAAACACGTATCACGCTGTAAAAACTTTGATAATAGCGATTGTAACGGTTTACACAGTGTGCTTAATACCAACAACATTCAAAATCTTTTATCTTTAGACATTCATGCAATTGGATCAACTAAAATAAAGTTCATAATAAAAGACAAATCTAAACAATACCTAAATATCCTGTTTTAGTGAAGCAAGAAAAGAAAACAATCTGTTCATGTTTTCGTAGTTGCAGCGTAATTTTAACATTTGTTTCTACAGGGTGTTTCGCACAACTTTTCGAGGCTTGCGCCTAATGTACGCACTCAAATAAGTATACAAAATTCACAAAAAACTAGATACAAAAAATACAGATTTAATTATTTAATTTCTGAAAACCCATGACAGTGGTTATCAAACTAATCACTGTTTCATAAATAGTCATAAACAGCAGTTTTTCAGAAACAATTATCATTTGTTCTATCAAGAGACGGCATGAATAGTTTATCAATCTTATTCACTAACAAACTAAAAATGTTGTAATTTTTGAAAGGGTGAACAAACTAGAGAAGATTATCCAATTTTTCAAAATTTGTAATCGAGTTCGTATCGGAATATGTATATTGATTGCATCTTACAGGCACAGGTCTCATAAAATTATGTGAAACACCCTGTATTTTTATCAAAATCATTATCATAATTTCAAGTTATTTATTTCAAAAATCCGTAAGCACAATCGAACTAATTTCAAATTTAAAGTAACCATTTTAAATAGGTACGAAAAACAATTCCGTGCCGAAAGGTCGATATTCTTTTTGTTTTTTGGTTCAAATTCAATAACTTTATCAATCAATTACTTCACATTTCAAATACATATAATTAAAATACGTATATCTAATTAAAAATAAATTGTAATTAAACGTTAACACGCGAGAAATTTGACGTTTGATAATGCAAAATAATTGACAACTTAATTCCAATTAATTTAATAAAATATGAGTTAAATTAATTAAAATAATACCAACAAAATATTAACTCAAAAACTACCATTAATCACTTTTTGAGGCCGTAGTCATGGTATGTAGCTGGTTCTTTAGTTAGGTGTATTTAAAAATAGTTCAGGTGAATAAATATTTAATTTATCTGATGCTTAAAACTTTAATTTATCATGTAATTGAAACCTCTATTATGAGTGTTTTTTCTTCTAAACCGAGATAAGAAATTGAAAATCTTGTAGACTATGTAAAGTTTATGCTTCGAATATAAAAATAAAAGCTGATTCGAGCAACATTTCCGTGACACAAATCTCAAGCAGATCTTTCTAATAAAGCAAGTAAATAATAATTGTCCAATTAGAGAAATATTTCAGAATTGGTTATAAACAAATCTAGCTTATTACACGTTGTAATCCCCTTCGTGTTACTGATTACTGATCACCACGATATAAATTAATGATTATTTTAATAAATAATTAACGAGTATTACAGTTTCTAATTTGCTTTAAAAATTACTCATGTAATATTTGTTCAGTTATAATAGCGCCCGTTTCATACATTAACTCGAAACTAATTAGAAGAAAAAGCTAATGAAATTTACATAAAAATAGCTTCTTTTTTAAATCTCAAACAAAACGTCCTTTTCCTTGTTAAAAGTCTGATCCCTATCTTTCTGCAATTTGCATTTGGGTATAAACATTTCGTTGAAATTTTAATCATAATTCGCGCTACGACAAACAAACTTAAATGGTTCACGGCGTCGATCCCCTCCTAAAGATTGCAACTTTCTTCTTTACGAGTTCCTCTAACATTGTATAGGTAGTACCGTACTAACTGTCGGTCCGATCCGGGGATAGTACCGGTAATGACAGCTGAGTGGCATGTGATGCGCGCGCGAAACAAACAAATTGCACCGGTCGATTAGTGTTTAATTGCAAAACCAAAAATGTCGAGCGTCATACACAGACCAACCTGTAGAAAGATGAGGCACCGGAGTTCACGAATAAGGTACCACCGGAACAATTTTTAACCACTTTTGTAGCGATTTTTATTTATCGGACAAACACCCGGATCACCGGAGAGTAAAATTTTAATTGTGATAAACAACGGGACGCGTCACGTGTCCCGAAAACCGTAACAAACCCAGTGAAAGTGACGCATCTCCAATTTGGAATTTTTTTTTGATCTGAGAAAGTTGGCGCAAAATTTGCATATTATTTGAATTTGATTTTTTGTGCCGAATGGCCGAATGTTAACGCTTTCTTGCACCAGAAACGATGAGCGCATTTTTTCCTTCCTCTTTTGGCGATGCAAAATGTGCAATAAACACGAACGTAATTGCCCCAATTGGCTATTTTTCCGTATAGTATGCAATTATGCTTTTAGTGTGGCAGGTTAGGACAACATGCAATTTTAACTAGTGCACGCAATGTAAATGCACTGATTAAATAACTCAGCTTCGGAATGGGATTACAAGTGTTACGGACAAATTGGTTGGAAAATTGAAGTAAATAAGTGAGATAAACAGTGATTTATGTGAAATTTTGTGAAGAACTGCATGGGCAGTGATATCTACATCCGATAATTACTGTGGGTTTCACTTTTCGACTTGAAATAATTAGTGTAAAAAATGCGATTACATACAATCTTTAAGAAATCAAAGAGAAAATTTGGAATCTCCGAGTTTCGAATGATAATTGCCTTTAAAAAATACAAAATGAATTTTATTGTATATTTTTTTACAAATGTAGTTTCAAAAACACGAACAATTTTATTTAAATTTACAATTAATTGTTATTAATTATAGTTACTCCATTAATTTACTCGTTTGTACCAATTTAACTTACACTACAGAGACGATTTTTATGACCTGTTAACTGTCTTCAGAGAAACCGTTTGGGTTTAGCAGCTGCAGTAATTTTTGACAAAAATACAAAAAAAAATAATTATAGAGGTTTCGTTTTTGATATACGTTACCATTAATGTTAAATGCTACCAACAGTGAAACGATAAATTGTTCGTTAAAGCACTCTTTTGGAAACTTAATATGCAAATTAAAATAAAACGATTTCTTTAATTTAAAATGCGTTGAATCTTCGGTTGAATCCTTACTGGATTTTCTATTTAGATTAATTGTTTACTTTTTTATTTAAATTTCTGTATTAGATACATTTTGTTTTAAGTGTTCTAAATTAAGAACTTTTTATCATTATCTTTTTTATCATTCGTTATCTTCTATACCTCAAAACCTCAAGTCTTATTATTATTGGTCAAATTTTTGTGAGTGGAGCGAAGAAAAAACATCATTGGCATTACTAAACAGCCCCTAGTTGTAGGTTCATCAAATCTCCGCCTACATAGTGCCCTTATGTTCTTCATGGTATTTTTAAAGAGTACCTACTACGCTAAAAAAAAATTGATAACGTAATTAATAATAATAACTCAAAGAAAAATTTTTTAAAATTGATATGAGTGTATTATATTTTATCAAAAAGACTTGTATCTATTAATAAACTCCCACATATGGCCACCCAGAAAAACCTTTAATGAAAATAAGACATCCGTTATGTTAATCAAAGCCCATAAATAAAGATTAATTTCACCATAAACCTATCAACAATGTAAACCATTCCTGTCTGGTAAATACTACTTTTTCACGTTTTTTCTTATTTTTGACCAACTTTTATAGTTTTATACCTTCTCTTTTATTCCTAATTGGAATAATGTAAAAAACAAGATTCGTAGAATAAACCACGTTATATTCTCTTCCAGTTTTACTCGAACAAAAATTTTTCCAAATACTGTTACATATTTTTAACGGTGAAAGATTACTTTCAACGTATGGTGAACGTGTGTTATAAATTACATACATATAAACAAATCATTTTCTCAGAAATGACAGCTATATAGCCCAAATTAACATAAATAATATTCGAAACATGATTTGCACCGCGTTATAATTCAAAAAACTTTCAATTAATAATAAAAAATAAATTAATACATTAAAACGAAAAAAATCTCACTTTGCATAATTTTGCAGCATGGAATGTTCTCGCATAAATCGTTTTCTGACGGACTACCTAATAAGGCTGAAAAAGTCAATCGCCACAAACGAATAAAGCTGGAAGCTCCCGGACGCGTCATGTTCTAACCCCACTAACCAGTTTGTGTCCAACGGTAAGGGGTTTAGAATGTGACATCTTCTGAGTCATTTCATTGATGTAATTTAAAACTTGTCAGTAGTGACAGTCTTTGAAGGCCGGTATTAAAAACCTTCCTGCTATGCAAACGACCTTTATTTCGATTTTTATTCTTTCACAAGGAAGTTGATTTTCTTAATGGAAGGGTAATTATAAATGACAAGAATTATACCTACTATAAAACGTTCTAAAAATTATGCAAACAAAATCGAAAGTTTTAACCTTTTAAATGGATGATTTATAAGAAAAATGCAATTGTAAGGTATTTAACAGTAAAAAAGACAATAATCGCGACCACTGTCAAAGTACAGTACGAGCAATTTCTTTAATCGGTGCTAAGAATCGAATTCTTTTATCTTATGACCTAGTCATTTAACAAATAGCTTTATTACAGGCTAGACCCAGTCTTGTAGGTTTTTCTAAATGCAAGGAAACACCTTTCTAAAAAAACACCAAGCACCCAATTACTCGAGACTAGAAAATAATAGAAACTGTTACGACAGAACGACCTACGCGCAAATTTCCGCTTTGAAACCAGACCAAAAAATATGTACAGTTCTTCACGAATCAGACTGTCAACAAAATTTTTTTCAATTTTCAACACACTTCACACCAGAGACTCGTTTAATTATCCGCTTAGGTTGCATAAGATTCAATCTTCGAGTAATTACGGGCTGCAATTATAATTATATTGTAAAATAAATTATTGATTAGTCGCTTGTTTCGCAAACAGCTTTCAACCAGTCGTAATGAAACTCCTCGCGAAATGTCACAAAACACTCTACAAACTCAACTGTTTCAGTGCCAACACTCAGATGGACAATGATGTCACACCGGTCTACTTGGCCGCCCAGGAGGGCCACTTGGATGTGCTTAAGTTCCTAGTTTTGGAAGCGGGAGGCTCACTCTACGTCCGCGCCAAAGACGGCATGGCCCCCATACATGCTGCCTCTCAGATGGGGTGTCTCAACTGTGTCAAATGGATGGTGAGTTTGTTTTTTTAAATAAACTAGTAGTTTCACATTTTTTTAGATACAAGAGCAGGGGGTGGACCCCAATTTACGAGACGGTGATGGGGCGACTCCACTACATTTCGCTGCCTCACGGGGGCATCTCGAGACTGTCCGCTGGCTGCTCAAACATGGTGCGAGACTCTCGCTCGATAAATATGGTAAAAGTCCCATCAATGATGCCGCAGAAAATCAACAAGTCGAGGTAATTAGTACCATTGCTGGTAATTCGTGATTTTAATTTGTGTAGTGTTTGAATGTGCTGGTGCAACACGGGACGACGCCGGATTACAAAGATGGAAAGAAGACTTGCTCGTGTACCAGGAAAAGCGAGCAGTTGAAAAGGGTGAGTACCAATTACTTTACATAACCGAAAAAATGCAAATTAACGTCAAGCTTTAATCCGAGTTATTAGAAATTTGATTTTTAATTTAATAACACGCAATTAGATTCTCTCGACGGGAGAAATTGTTCCGATTTGGCGATTGTACCAGTCATTCTATTTGTGAATTTCGATATGGTAGTAGGTGCCGAATTTCCGGTCGAAAATTTTTGATGGGTTGTTTTGCAGGGGAATAGTGTCGGAAGTGATTGCTCGAGCTGCAAACCGGCTGAGAACGACAATTCCGAACCGTTTTATCTCCACCCTCCCATTGGAGGACGTACCATGGAAGCTCCACATGCCCCCCAAGACGGTTTGTACATCAACCCCATGAATAATCACAGACACAGCGCCTCGAGTGCTTCTGAAACCAGCTCAAATGAAAGTATCAACGGAGAATCATTCTACTTGCACAACCCCCAGGAAGTGATCTATAACAGAGTCAAGGATTTATTCGAGACGCCCCAAAGGCAACCTCTCTCTGCCCTCACAGGTAATTTTTTTCCAGAAATACGCAATGCAAACACAAGAATACAATAAAAAAGCTTCAGAAAAAGAATGATTTTTCGAAAATTATATTTCCGGGGTATTCCCCTGCTTGGCATGAAATCGGTGACAATCGAGTCACCTTGCATTGTTCCCCACGGTCACCACCGTTTGTTTCTAGTAAAAGTGGAAGTACACTCCAGCAGCAGCGGAGCGGGGTCAGACGAGAACCTCTCATCTTCGGACCTATCGGAACGTTCCGGCGACCATGACCACGACTACGAAGACATCTATTTAGTCCGCGAAGAGTCCGACAAAAAAACGGAGAAGCAAGCGAATGTTCGTTCGCGATCGCGCGACAGCGGATCACACAGTCGTTCCGGGTCGGCAAGTTCGTCGAATTCTGGGTGCAATGTCGTGGTGAAGGTTACACCAAATAATAAAACCAACGAGTTTTTGCCCAAACCGCAAAAATATGAGAAAATCGAAAAGAAGAAAGAGGAGGAGGATGGGGAGAAGACCAAACTGGGCGAGAGGCATTCCGTACCGCCGAAGAACGTGACGCCAAATGCGAAAGTCTTGAAGAGGGTGACGTCGACGCCGGGAAATATTTGTCCGCCGCCGCCACCTCCGCCACCTCCGGTTAGTGAGAAGAAGGAAATAAGTGAAGAGGATGAGCCTAGGGGGGCCGAAGTTGTGGAAATTGTAGAAGAGGCGACGTTGAAGCCGTCGGAAATTGCGAAAGGGATGTGTAAGACGCTCTCGGCGTTAAGTAAGTAATAAATAAGGGTCAACAAAACAGTAACATTCAAAGACAAATTACGCGCAAATATTAAAAGTCATCAAATTGTCAAATGTTTCAAACTCATATAAATGATCTAAATTTCTTTTACAAAACTGATTGCAACCTATTTTTGGTTTGAACATGTAAAAAAAAAGTATAGCGTGATTTATATCTAAAATTTTTTGAGTCATAATTATGGTATTTTTTATGTTTATAAGATGTACAGTTACGGACAATAAAATCTGAGCACAGGTTTGACATTTTATGACTTTTTCATAAAATTTGGTAAAACAAGCTTTTACTTCATATGGCGTTACCCTTACAGTAATTCTTAAACTCTCTAAACTGGAGGAGCGTTATAGCCTCGGCTATAGCATAAAAGCAGTTGTAGACTAATACAATTTAAATAAAAGCATAATTTTAAGAGTAGAAAACAGATGGAAATAAGAAGGGAATATAACCTCTTTTCTAAAAATACTTTCAAACTTCAAAAAAAAATTACAAATTAAAAAACATAAAATGTGTTCCTTGATTTTTATTCCGTATTTTTACAATACACGCGATTATATTGTCCGACATTGTACACCTCTCAACATCACACCAATTTAATTTTCTTCTTTATTAGACGTCACATGTTACATTATTTCATATGTTATTTTTTAATAAATTCGTTGGGGAATCATTAAAGCTTTCTTCAATACGAGTAATGATTAATTGCAATTACGACTTAATAATAAAAATAAATAAATAAGGAACTACGAATAAGAAAGTACATTGCAACTTGTTTCATTTTTTGCTATTTCACTATTGCATAAATTATTGTTATTATTATTACTCACTAATAGGAAAAAAACTAATTAGAAAATTTATTGTAACATTAACAATTAATAAAACTAGGTAGTGATTTTTATTCAAATTAATTACACGAAATATTAAAAAACGCCCCAAACCCCCAAGTGTTAAATCCATTATTTTTTTAAATGTGACAATAATTCTGTGGAACAAAGTTGCACAGTTTATTGTCATTTATTTGTATTAATCGAGCGTCTATCCCAAAAAATTGCTCACAATTAACTGATCAACTTTGATCAAAAAAGTATTGTCATATCTTTAAAAATAATGTATCTAGTTATTACTTGAAACGTTTTTTTTATAATCCAGTCTGCATATAAGCATCTTACTCTTCAAATCCAATTCCACACCATAATAATATTTCTAAAAAAAAGTGAAAGAAACGGTTTTCCATCAAACTCTTTTATTTGATGTCTGTTATAAATTTAAAAAAAATCCAACTATAGAAATCTTTATGTTATAAACTGCATTGAAGGAAAATAATAAAACTAATAAATGTTTTTAAGAATATTTTTTTTAATTAATAACAATGATTACCAAGCAAATACTATAATTCGATCCTTTGTGAATATGAAATAAATCACATTTATTTAATCATTACAAATAACTTAATTAATTTTTTATCATTGAAACTTAAAATTTATATGAAGCTCGATGTGAGGTCATCTCTGTGACAAAATTTGGGGTCACTAAATTACGTAAACTAGTTTGTTCATAATTGTTTAATCCACTTAAAAAAATAAAATAACTATTTAAATGTTTCGCAAACAATTAACACAAAAATCATAAAAGTAAAAGCATCAAAATGTTACGTATAAATTTTAAATAGTGACATAGAGGAAAAAGAAAATCTATTTCTTGTCATAATACCAGTTAGTTATTTATAAAGACAGGGGCAGGAAATCCAACAAATTCCCAAAAGAACAAAATTATTTTTATGTTTCAACATAATCTTCCTCTAGATGAAGTACATATGTAGTTTGCACTTTTGTACATACATAATCGATGTTATCTTTTTTGACGATTAGAAATGAAATGAAATCAAATTCTTCTAATTATTTTTTTGATATAACATCTCTTGTATTTTCGCGAAAAAGTGTTATAGCGTAGGTATAGTTAAAAAGGCGACAAAACCCAGATTTTTGCGTAAATCGTCTCCATTACACAGTTGTTTGTCCTAAACGTTAATTTACTGTTAAATAAGAAGTGGCAATTTGGTTGCAATTATAATTGAAGTGGTATAAATATTAAAACCAACGCTCCAAAAACTCCCAACCGACCCAATTTGAACCTTATTAAAACCACACATTACACTAATTGGACCATCAAAAAAGCCCATATATACCTACCAAAGAGCAAACACATGTTTTAATTGAATTTCACTCTTATAACACTTACCAATCAAACCAGAAATAATAAAAGGTTCCGTAGCCGGTCGTGTAGCGTCATCCTGTGCATCTCTTTCCGTTTCATTATAATTACAAATACGAGGAGTGAGAGGCGAATAATTTAATGGTACCACTCTTTCAGCGACTCGTCGACTTAACTCCTCCTGCTCAGATCTGACCATTGTTAGTCTAAGCACCGATACCGAAGACACCGAGAAGCACGGACCCAACTTGGTCAACAAGCAAAGAGTGCTACCTTTCATCCCTCCGAGTTTCCCCGGAAGTGCCAACTCGAACAACCTGATCAAACCCTCTGAATATTTGAAGAGTATCAGCGATAAAAGATCATCAGCATCTTCAATTAGAAGCAACTCGGAGAGCGAGGAAGTGGTTATGACTGCTGAAGAGAAAGAAACTCAGAATATTCAAGGACCACCGCCACCACCCTTACCTGAATTGACACCAATCGACCAAAACGGAAAAATTGAAACCAACACCGATACAGTTAAAAAACAGCAACAACCACTCTCTGCCATCAGTATCCAGGACTTAAATTCGGTGCAATTGAGAAGAACGGACAAAATGGTCGCTTCGAAAACATTCTCGGCGCCTACCAGAAGTATGAGTCTTCAGTGTCTCCCAAGTGAGCCGTTTTTGGCACAAAAAACGGACCTAATCGCTGAATTGAAACTCTCAAAGGACATACCAGGGATAAAAAAACTGAAAATCGAAAGAGCCAAAGTCGAAGAAACTCGCGAAAAACAACTCTATACCGAAATTTCGAAACAATTCACTGCGACCAAATTCGTGGAAAAGGTGGTTTTAGTCAATTTTGTGACTTTACTTTATCTAATTTGTGGTTGCAGATTCCTGATAAGGACAACACTGGTAACGTCATACCGGCCTGGAAACGCCAGATGTTGGCGAAGAAAGCGGCCGAGCGAGCACGCAAAGAGCTCGAAGAGCAGATGTTGAGAGAGGCAGAGGAAAAAAGAATGCAAGCCATACCACAATGGAAACGTCAATTAATGCAGAAAAAAGAAGAGGCGGAAAACAGAATGAGGTACTAAATTCATTGATGTCAAAACAAAATTTTGATTGTTTTCTAGGTCAACAATATACACCCCAAAAGTGGTCGATGATCCCCGATCTTTGAAAATCCAAGAAACACATGAGTGTCTAAAACAGGCCACCCAACCAGAAGAAAAGAAATCGACCGAAGATATCAATAATAACGAAAGTGTTAAGGAAACGGTCAATCAAACGGAAGAGGAAGAACCTGAAGAAGACACGAACATAATACCATGGCGAGCGCAGCTCAGGAAAACCAACAGTAAACTGAATTTATTGGATTAGTCGTATAGTTACGTTGTTATTTCCAGTCCTGTAAAGTGTAAAATCATTGTTATCTATTTTATATTTTAAGGTAACAGTTGCAATATTAGACTAAGTTAAGACAAGTCAATTATGTGATGTATGTTTTTTATTATTTTTAGAACTATGTTATAATTTAGCAATAAATTGACTGAAGCCGGCTTTTACCGGCTATTACCTATTAAATTATTGGAAATTGTAGCTCGACTACGATTTTTTAAGCTTGTGAAGGTTCGGGAACAGTTCTAGCTTCAATATTCAAATTTCTGAACATGTATTGTATCATATTGTAGTCGCTTTTCATATAATAAAGACGTAATATGAAAATTATCGAGTTTATTTTAAGTGTAATAAGCCTATTACATATTGGTTTTATGAATTCCCCTCTTAATACTTTGTCTTCTCGGTTTGAATAGCATCGTTCTATGTAGGTTTGCGTGTTAATAGCCTTTCGTGAATAATTAATAATAACCGTTTTCTCACAATTTAGAAATATGTGCAAAATTTAAAAATTACAATTCAAAAATTCAAATATATATTTATAAAAATAACCTTCTCTGTACTTACCCCATTTGAAATTTGATGGTGGAGTGAGATCGAGTTACTAGAGGAAAAGGAATTTTGACAAAATGGTAATATTTATATTTGTAATGTAATTAGACCAATATATATATATTTAGACCAATAATAATTTACAGAACACTTACATCACTGAAGAAATCAAAAACATGATTGAATCTTAAAAGTACCGAAACAATGTAACAAAGGTTTAAAAAAACTAATTTTAATTAAATAAATATGTGCAAATATTCGTACAGTCTATTAACACTTGTTGAAAATAAGAATCTTGCAACTATACAGAATAACAATTGGAATACAAGATAAATCAATATAAAGTCGTGTATGTAGATCGTATTTAGCAAACCTGAGACTCGGTATCTTTTTAAATAAAAGATTTTCAAAAAAAAATCCCGATATCAACAATCTCAACCTCTCAATATAAATAAATTAATTAAATATAATAAAGTGGCAGTCTGTGTCTTGAATATATATCAATTCTCAAAAAATTGGAAGGCTTCATATTATAAAAAATCGACCGAGGCACCTCTATATTACAATATAATGATTTGTCTTATAAGATTAAAAAAATCAATAAGAAATTTTCAACAAGTATTTAACAAAAGATGAACTTATTTACAATTTCGTAATGGCCAATTTTTTGTATTATTTTTCATTGCCTTACAATCTAATGAATAATAAACTACTTTTATTCACTGAATATTTAATGATGGATATTTACCCCATCGTTCCTGCACGTCGCACGTTTTGTAGCAAAAACAATTTATTTAAAAGAATGACCAATTACCTCAATCCCCTAAAATCCGAGATTACCGCATTCCTACTTTAAAAAAAAAATAATAAGTTCAGGCAATTATCACAGACGTAAAAAAAAACATTAAAAGCACCAAAAATCAAATGAAAAACTGTATACAAAACGGAAGGCAACTGCAACTATTGAACGAGTAGGAAAATTGCAGGACTGATGACGTTTCTCACATATAACGAGGTCTTTTTTGTTGTGTAGGACTGTCCATTGTAACATCGGAAGGACTCGCCGGTCGTTTACAATGCCTAGCCATTTCACCTGTGATAAAAGCGCACAAATCGGGGCCGCGAGCAATACAAGACAAGGGTGATCGCGCCAAGGCCTCCCTGAAGGTGTGTAACTCACTATTAAGACCCAAAGATTCTGGAGGAGAGACTCCAGGAGGCGGCGATATGTTCCTAGGGCGAGGAGACATGGGAATCCTACTGTGGAACACACCATAATTAAAATGCGAGTACAGGAGATTGAGGTTGGGTTTAGGAGAAACTGACCTGTGGTGGTTGTGGTGATGGTACTGGTGGTGGTGGTTGGGTTTAGGTGGAAGCTTTCCTGAGAGGTAGGCGAGGAGATCCTCTCTGCAAATCAAACGCCGTTTCCGCTTGGCCCAATTGAGTATTTCCTTGTTTCGTTTTTGGTATCCGCATTGTTTCGCCAAGTCGCTGGATTTCCGCAGCCCCTCTGAAGATTCTGCAATTGAGTCAGTTACCAAATTGTTTGATTGACCTCTGGACCCTACCTTTATATAACGAAGTAACTGTCCCCGCAGCTGTCTGAAATTGCAACCAGAGCGTCGCCGGTTCTCCTGTAACCCGATCTGGGGAATAAGGAGCATTTTAGGAATGGAAATCTGCCACAGCTGATCAATAGAATGTCAACAAGATGTCGGTGGTCGATTGGGAATCCGCCTACTTGTGACCGTGAACGGGGCTCGGGAGACTTACCGCGATACAACTGTGCTATAGCTGCGGCTGAGTCTTGAAAAGCAGTCCATATTCGCGTATGAGAATTCTCGGATTCGTCACGAAGGGATTGCTCGAAGTCGGGCTGCTCGTCTACCGAATCGGCACATTGTTGTTCCCATCCTGATAACCACGATTCACTATCACCGTCACCGTTCATTTCACTTTTTTACGACTAAAAAGTAACGGAACACAATCGAATTTCTCAAAACTACGCGATAACTTTCAGCTACACGCGGCCATGTTTGACGAAAATGACAGATAGCATTTGTGTTGTGGTAGCCCTGAACAGGGCACACTAACAAAAGGAGAACAAAATAACTGAATCTCAGAATGAAAGTGCTCTGAGCTAAAATAATAATTATTGGCGTACCTAGTTCCCCATACTTTACAAAACTAATCAATCAACACTTAATTAAAAAATTAAAAATAAGTGAAAAAAAACCGAAGTTGCCAACACTATAAAATAAAAATCACCATATTTCTAAAAGGTGGAACTTTTAAATACTTATTAGGTAATAATAATTCAAGTCAAATAACTTTATTACGACTAAAGAACTAAACATATAACATATACAAAATCATTCTTTCTTTTCTTCTTCCTGCTGCTGTTTGTTCCTCGGTTGCCTCTTTGGTTTCGCTTTGCCACGAAGAACTCTCATTCGTTCCATTTCTTCTTTGAAGTCGGCATGTTCGTCTCTATACAAACCGTAATGTCTTAGTTTTATCATCAACCATCCAGTTTCTATATGCCTAGGGTAGTAATGTGTGACTTCTCGTCTCAAATTGAGGGGTTTTTCACTAAACATTCGCACCACTTTCATTGACTTGGAATTAGTAGGGCGGGCGACTTCACCAAATATTCTATTACTAAGTCGTAACATACGTCTTGCATATTCAGTCGATAGTTTCGTTAAATCGGCATATTTAGCGTAACGACTCATTTTAGATCACAGTTAGATTGAGTGTTTTTGAGGTTAGGCTGGTTAGGTAAAAAGTGACAAGCACGGAGAAGGGGAAGTTATAGAAAAGAGAGATAAATAGAATTGAATCTGTCCTTGTTGGAAAAGGTCGGAAGATTAAGGCGCCATCAACACTGCCATTTGGCATAATGGCGGGAGATTTAATGATCTCTTCCTTTATTTTAGTTATAAAAAAATACATGAAATTCGTATATTTTAAAAGATTATTCACTTTTTTATTAGACATACTTCATCTTAATATTTCTATACATTACCTCTACATTGTACATTGTGATAAATTTAAATTTCCCCTTTTTTAACATTGGGAGCAAATATTGAAAAAAACAGTCCGATTTAAAGAACATTTGGTATTTCCTTAGTTAATTTTTTTTCGTAAGTCTGTTGGTGTGAAGGGTCTGCTAGGTAGAAGGTCGTAAACTAAGACAAACTTGTGGCAATGGCAATCACGTAGCGTAAATCTATACTCTTTTTCATATTAATATGCATATCAAGTAGGTTGTAGAATTGTAAATGCATCTTTAATTTAAAGGCCGATTCACACAAATACTGTCATTAATGTCACTCAGTAGAATAAATTTAATCACATCAATAATGACAACAAAATTTATGTTTGTGACCCGATGTTAATTACGTTGTTAGATTTAATTATTTTTTACTACCTCAAGAACTGAGGTACACATTTTTAGGAAGGATTGAGGTTAGGATTGTTTGAATTTTCGCATGATCACCAACTTAACGACTTTTTTCTTTCAACGACTACTTCGATGCACATTAATATGAAAACGACTTTAAATGCTTCACGGCAAAGCGGAAACTTTGACAAGTTTGCGTTTTATTCATTTTGAGTGAAATAAGGTTCAATTAGAGCAGAAAATTTTTATTGTTGCAAGTTATTACAAAAATGCTGTACAAGACGAAAACCGCAAATCGTCATTTTCACTTTCAGTTTGTGTGGAAAATTTCCAGTCCAAATTCCCAGCCAATGTGTTTCCAACTGTAGAATTTAATCGACGCCTACTCTATTTTTTTTTTTGATGGCACGGTACTTAAACAGAGTCAAGTATATAGAATATATAATATTATTATACATTGTATAATAAATAAGAGAATATGGAGGCGGCGGCCATTATTACGCTACTCAAGGTTAAATCCGAAGAGATCATTATAAAACCTGACGACGTTGACAAACTTCCGACAATGTCACCTAATGGATATGACGAATTAGGATTAAATGGACTAAAGCTAAACCAACGATGTGAACGACCATCGGTCAAATTATATTGCAGCAGATGCAAAGGATACTCAGAAGAGTACGAAATACGAATAATAACAGGGTACGTATAAACATTTTAACTCGTTTTCAATTTTTAATCTAGTTACATTTACTTTACAACCAGCTATATCAAATACACATACTGGCCGCCCAAATTAACCAGACAACAAAAATTTTGTGGTTTTTCACTTATAAAACAAACATATAGTACAAGATCATCATTATCATTTTACAAACATGAGCATTGATAAAGACGGATTAAAAGAATAAAGCATCCTTGCGACGAACAGCGTCATGTTCTACATGATGTCAGATTTCATAAATGGTTCTCTGATGCCCATCACAGACGATGCTGTGGTAAAAAAAAAATAGATGAGAGAAATGCTACAAAACTTAAACAAAGACTATTGTCGAAGCCGATTCGATTAGCGATTATAAAGAGCATTTCTGTTTTGGACCACAATGCTCCACCAGTCTTTGATGATTACATCTGTAATATAATCAATGCCGCCGATGTCCATTAAACTGTTTGTTTTAATCCTTTTGGTGCTTTGAGAGACTCAGCTCTTTATTATTGAATTTTGATATGCAAAAAAAATATTTCTGAGAGTCCCAGCGATATAATACACAGCGCTGATCTTTTAACACTAGCAACGCACTAAAAATAATACATGTAATTTGACTCTCACAGGACAATGTCATTGTCACAATACCAACAAGAGTTGCTCGACAAGAAAATAGAGAACTGTCGACGACAAATACAACTTTCCAAGATGGAAACGAAATGAGCGAAAGAACAACTTAAAACGGAGCAGATGAAAACGGCATTAGTTAAAGCACAACCGAAATATGAGCGCCTAGAGATACTGCTTGTATGATATTGATTGTTCATCATCATCACCTTCAGCCCATAGATTTCACTTTTTTTTTCACCACTTAAAAACAAAACAATAAACAATAACGAATCTGACTTATTTCTGAAATCAAAACCGTGTAAAAAAAAGATTTTGGTGACAGATGTTAACAGTATATTCACCAAAGCCTATTTCGGAGTTGCTAACGCAGAAAAAGCTATAGAAGGCTTTAAAAAGGCTGGCATTTTCCCTATCAGTCCTGGTGTATTCCGTAAAGAGGTTTTTTTACAAAAACAGCACTAACAATCACCCAGTGCAAATCACTAACCCAGCGTTAGAAATTAGTACAAGACCAGTACAAAGTACCAATGCAGTGCTAGAAAATAATAATTCAAGACCTGGTATCGTCGCGGCTAGCCACTCTCGATCAGAAACGTATCACAATTCCACAACACCTGTTTCTGGTTACTCAAACTCTCGATCAAAAATAGTTTGCAATTATTCAAAAGATACTGACTCGATCAGAGTGGTGTTAAAGATATTAACGAACGCCACGAAATTAACACTCCCTTTGGAACTATTGTCCCTTTGCCAAAAAAGCAGCTAACAGCTCCACTCAACAAAAAACAAGACGCGAAAAACTAAGATCCCAAATTCTTACGTCAACACCTTAAAATTAAAATTGGAAGACAAACATAGGAAACGAAAACATAGGAAACGGATATAAAGAAACGAGGATGTACACAAAAGACAACTAAAAAACAACCATCAGTTGTTTGTTTGAACCACCAAGTGAAGATGAAGATGATTGGACATTTTATTGACATTTGATAATAGAAATTATTTTACTTAAAAATTCTTGTGTTTATTCTGTGGTTTTTACGTAATAATAACATTTCGTAACAACAGAGTTTTTGCAAATTGTTTAGTTTAATGTTAACCTTAACGACAACGTCATTTTTAATTGTCTTTCAAGGGCGAAAAACGTATTCCGTCAATTCAAAGACGTTTATTCACAATCACTAATGTAATATGCCGATTACTAACCTTTTTAAGGTTGGGAAACATGTCATTATTTCTCATGAAGAGTAATAAATGTTACTCCTCTTGGGTGGTAATATGCAGGATTGCCAACGTTTAAATTACGAAAATACCGGAAAATTTTTCTTTTATATTGTCAAGTTACGCATAATATTTCGCTAAATTAGTATTCAATTGCTTTTGTAGCAGTTTCTCTTAATTCTCTTAATTCATTGCTCCATTTCGACGACTTTAAATCAGATTTACACATTATTTCAATATTTTCTTTAACATTTCTCAAATGTCAAAAATCAAACGTCATTTGGATGGCCTACCACGTTTGGACCTTAACTTTGTTAGAATTTTATTTTACTCAAATTTTTGACTGAAAATAATGTGATTGTGAATAAAATAGCATACAAACCTGGGTGGTAATGGCATTACCCCTTGTGCTTTATCCGATCTCGAGGCTAGCGCCTCTCGATCGTATACATAAGCACTCGGGGTAATGCCATATTTACCACCTCGCTTGTAATTACGTATTTGTCTTATTTTTTGATTTCTTAGCAACGGCCATTTGTCGTAATACGTTAAACTTTTTAACGATTTGCAAAAACTCTCTAATATTTCCGTCATTTGCGCAATAGAAGGTTCTTTCTCGTTTAATAACCGTTGCGATGTCTTGTTTAAATTATAAAAAATTATTCGTATACTTAGAGGATTTAATTGTTTTCGGAAGATAATAAAATGTAGTAGATATGTAATATAATATAGTATTTACCAGATTGCGAGAAGTAAATCTATAACTTAATCCAGAAAAATGTAACTTTTTAAAGAAAGAAATCCTTTATTTAGAGCATGTGAGACTCATGGTATCGCACCCGATCCAGGCAAAATTCGAGTATTGCAAGAATATAGTATTATTATTAATTTTATTATAATTATATTATTTTATTATACAGGCTGTTTTTATTGTTACAAATTTAAACAGGTGATAGAATATTCAATTTTAAGACAAAAGTTTCCTATGAACATGTATCAAAAAATGTTATGTAAGCGAGATACACCCCCTGAAAGAGATGCGTTTTGAAATTGTCATTCATTAAAGCTTGAATTACATTAAAGTGTTAGAAAAGTGACGACCAAAGTATTTTGTCTCCAACTGTACGGACTTGATTTCAGGAATTCAGTTGTGTTTCTTTTTTTTTTGGTTGTAATAAAGCTACATAAGTGAAGATGCAGCTAAGAAGCTGGGTGTTAATGTGTTATCAATTACGCGACTTTTATCCGGCCTTGGAGCAATAGTTATTTATGTCTGAAGAGAATAAACAATAATTTTAATTCCAAGAATTTGGTAATGCCTGTGGCGACCGAAGGAAGCCGAGGATAATTTTCATTCAAGGGATTAACGATGTTTATTCCAAAGATGGATACAAAACTTTCCTCTCAAGTGAATTTATAATAACATAAAAAATTCATTAAATTGCAATTTTATGTTTCGTAAATGACTCTTATGATAGAATATTTTTAACAATAATAGAAAATATATTAAAATGAAAAAATTACCTCGTGTAATAAGCTCGAGTTAAGTGAAAACTGAGCCCACTTTCTTCATCCATCTCCTTTTGTTCATCATCGGCAGGCTGTTATTATAATTTATCAATATTATTATTCATATAAAAAAGTAAGTTACATTAATACCATTATTACCTTAATAATTTTGTTTTGAAGGATGTTGGTATTCATTCTTAAATGAAACACTAAATTGTAATTAGTGCCTTGATAAGTGGAAATGAAGTAACGGTCAACAACAACCAAACGTTATCATAACTCACCTGCCCAAAGATAATGTTTATGAGAAAAAAAAAATATGATCATGGCCTTAAAAACACTTACAATAAAATTATAACAAGTGATATAAAGCAACTAAACATTATTGACTTGTACAATCGTACATCACTTTGTTATCGTTAAAACTTTTAAATTTGTCAATAACTAATAAATAAAACAATAAAACTTGAGAGAACCGCAGCTCTCAGACTTTTTAGGATTAGGGTTAGGGACAATTATGGGCACAGAACAACACAGATAGGGACAGTTAAGAATTTAGGGATTTTTTATAGGAGAAAACTGTAAATTTCTTGCAAGTGTGCAATTGCAGAAAACTGTAATGATATTTGTAAATGACGAAAAAGTCAACTCTCCTTAAAGAAAAACGTTCAAGTACTTTTTTAAACAAATAATAATTGCTATATGCTATGTTTCTTTTTTTTCAGCTTTAATTTATTTAAATTATCTAAAAGATCGCTTGCCCTCTTTTGGTGACAAGTGACAGTTTTCGTGCCGTTTGACACCTCCATTTGCTTCTCATTTCGTAAATTTTCGAAGTGAAAGAAAATGGGTTTTGGTGATTATCCTGCTGAATACGACCCTAAAATCCACGGTCCTTATGACCCTGCACGTTATTACGGTAAAGGTATCGTATTTTGTTTTCAAATTTGGACTCCAATGACATAACCTCTAATTACGTAATCGCCCTTTCAGCTGATACTCCTTTAGCCCAAGTGAAATTGGGGGAGCTTGGAAATTGGTTTGCACGTCGCAATAAACATCCTCAGGCTATCGCTGGGGCTATCAGCCGAGGTAATACTTTTGTTCTCATTCGAAAAAAAAGTAATTTTCTTGTGTTCTTTAGCTTACTGGAGATGGCAACATAAGTACGTGCAGCCAAAGCGTAGCGGAATTGCTCCGTTTTTGCAAGTCGTGACGGCTTCTATGGTCTTCTTTTATGTGATTAATTCACAAAAACTAAGTGAGTATTTGGGGGTGTAAGGAATATGTAGAGGCTGCACTTTAGATTAAGATAACTTAGACGCGATTACAAAAAGGCCTTAATGTTAGTAAGTTCTACAAGTGCAGCTTTGCGTGTTTATTGCTGAAGCAGTGTCTTATTCTGTTATTTTACAGGCCGCCACAAGAACTACAAGTACCACTAAGAAGGAGGATTATAATGTCAATGTAGTTGGTGTAATCAATAATAAAATTGGTTAAGTAATTGCAGCGTTTATTTGTAAAAAAATATTCTAAAATTCTATTAGCCAATTTGTTAATACGTTACAGTTATTTTTAAGAAAACACTTTACAAAATATATATGAGAAAAATAGACAAAAATGTAGAAAAATCAACACACCAAGAGAGCGCAAGTTCGGTGATTTTCGCTTGAGCTCGCGCTCGTTTTAACAAGTTTTATCACAACCACTCAAAACATTCGAGTTCCAACAAAAATCAACAATTTTCATGAACAAGGGCAACATTTACGGCAATTTATCAAGCTGCGGGCATAGCTGCCAAACATAATTAAAAATTAATAACACAACTAAGACCTAAGGCAATATAGCTTAGTAAAAAATAAAAAATGTATAAAATACTGATTTTGGATTTAATAAGTTAATTATTAAATGGGTTAAATATTAAAGAAATATCACTCATAATGTTAATACTACCAGGTTACGTCTAGATCTAATTAATTGATCTGTAATTATTTAATAATACTGAGTAGTACGTGCTTGCAACTGTTAAATAATCACAGAACAAAAAAGAAGGGGTCGCGACAAAGAAAAAGCTTAAATACAATCAAATATATATATAAAAAACCTAACAGCTAAATAACTACAAAATATTAATAAACTCCTTTACAACATTTTATTAAGTTTCATTATGAAAAATTAACCATCAAAGAGTATTTGATTATTATTAAGATTATTCGCATCACATCAAAATAAGAGAATAAATAATGAGTATTTTGGTCGAATTTCGATAACAGTGAAGATCTCTTAAAATACTGAGTATTGATTACAAACTAAAAAAATACACAAGGTACTACTGGCTTCAAGCAAAAAATTTGGTTGCGGTGTCGGTACTGGTAATGCATCATGGAAAAATATCACATTTGGTGAAAAAGACAATTTAAGTTAAACGTAACAGAACTGAGTATTTGTTATTAAATAAGTACTGAATCATAAAATAAAAAATAAATAAATATCTACAAAACTGGGTCGAGAGAAAAATCAAGAGAGCTCCGTAATAAGTAATCAAAAATCTAAACTAGTAACCAAAGAATCGAGTTAGGTGCACTTTAATAAACCAAGCTTTTTCTGTACGTATCTAGTTAAGTAGTTGGTATCACTGGTAATCGTTTCAATGACTTTCCGTTTCCGTCATTTGAGTTGAGACAAGATTTAGTGGCAAATCCGCTATACTCTCCTCATCGGACTCGGCCTCGGGGGCAGAGCCGCCGGGGGAACCGCTCGTCGGCAAGAAATGGGCAAAGTTGGCTGCCTGAAAACAAAAACTTCTATACTTCTCAGTACTTACTTTAAACTCCTTACTTGTAAATGAGGATAGGCGGTGGTTTTATGTCCCTGCAATGCCATCACCAAATGAGGCTGTATCTGTCGTCTCAACGCACTCAACATGTCTTCAGTATCGGCGGATTCTGCATTACCGTGCCCTTTTTTTGGCGCTGCAACATGCCAATCAGCACATATTTCACCACCAAAATCACCAACCTTTAAACTGATTATTGATAGTCGCGTACTCCCTGCACTTGTCCTTCTCGTTCCTCGCTTCTGCAGCTTTAGGACGTCTACGTCGCGTGTGGATCGTATCCCTTCGCATCGTATGCGGCCTATCAATACCGTGAAGCTTGTAATAGAGACCACAAGCATTGCAGACCATTTCTCCCTTCATATTTCTCCTCCATATAGTCGTGGTTTGAGTCCCGCAATTCGTGCACGAGAGATCAACTCGTCGCGCCATTCCGGCACCACCTTTGCCTCCTTTCACTATTTGAAGGTTGCACCAGGGGCTGTTGCCAGTGAAGTCGGGGATATAGTCCTCGCCGTCGTCGCGAGCCGGACTCCTTTTTTCCAAATATAAAATAACAATTTCATAAAAAAGAGAAAAGATAATAATACCTAGAATCTTCAATTGAGGCTTTGGTAGGGTAACTCTGTTTTCTTCGGCCCGTCGACGGTTTGGAGTTGGTTTCCATGTTGAGGGGCTCGCTGGGGGAGTTTACTCGGTTATCGAGGACGAAAGGAGGAGCTGGGGTTATACTCATGCCTAATTTTCGGCACGTTATCAGTTTCCTGAGTAGTTGGCTGGCTTCGCCGCTCAAGGGCACGTTGGGGTTGTAACCGTTGTGGGACAGGGCACGCCATAAGGACGCCTCTTCGTCGGGTTGGACGTTGTCAGGAATGGGGGAGGTCGCGCTCGCCGTCGTCGAATTGGAATGCTCCTCCACGCCCTAAAAAAATATTTCGTTAGTATCCACAATTAATTTGGCTTTTTAAAATCACTTTACCTGCGACATGTCCACTTCCAGCCTTTCCGGATCCGAGCTGTTGCTATAATCCGAGGCGTTATCGTTGACTTCCTCTTTGATAAAATCTATTTCCGGCACGCAGGTGAGATTTTCCGGTTTCTTGTTCGATAAATCGGCCGGTTGGTTGGGACACTCGTCGATTTGCATAGCACCCTCACCAAAATTAGGTGCTATCGACGGTGAGGGTATACTATTCGGTTCGCTATCTGGTGGATATCGTAAGTCTGTTGGTTCGGTTGTGGGCGGTTTTTGGTCCTCTTTCGCCGATTCCGGTTCGGTTTTTCGACTGATTGTAATACTGTTGGGTGTATCTTCGGCTTTTAGGATAGTGGAGGCGTTCATCATTGACTCTAGAACGGCATTCGTGCGTTCCATCCTCTCCTAAAAAACAAAAAAATCACAATGATTTCAATTTTTTTTTTTAATAAAAGTGGTTAACAAGCGCACATGCCGCGCATTACACCTGACACACAACTGGAACTGTTATCTTATCAAAACATGAAACAAAACAAAGATAGTCAGGGACTGATAAGCGTTAAAAATTTCCAGTTGATACGACAAAAATGGTAAGTAATTTTCTTCCACCTTTTATCTCCACTAAACCGCAACTTTCAGTCTCTTCTTGTCACCATCTTACTGTTAGCACTTCCGGCAGCCTTCGGAGAAGATATCTGCCAAACCTGTAGCTGCAAAACAAAAGCCAACGCCCAAATCCTTACCCTAAATTGCGTCAACAAAAACCTAGATCACATTTTAAGCAAATGGCCATCCCAAAACAATACAATAATCGCTAATTTTGCCGGAAATAACCTACCGACACTTGAGCCTCTTCCCCCAACAAATGCCAGTGTTGAAATTATCTTGTCTAGGTGTAACATCAAATACCTAAAACCGGCACTATTTGCCGCTTCACCAGACGTCAAATTCGTTGATCTTAGTTATAATAAATTGCCAGGTTTGTCGGACCGCAAACTAGGATTGTCTATCCTCACTTGTCATTTCAGCCGAACAAATAGCCTCGGAAAAGTTTAGAGGGCCGATAAATAATACCGAGTATAGACCAATCGCAATAGAAAACCTAAATCTGGCATATAATCAAATCCACAGTTTGGGCATGAAAGTTTTTGAGCACATGCCTAATTTGAAAATACTTAATTTGGAAGGTAATGATTTTACTATGCTGGATTTACACACGCAGCTGGCTTTGTCGTCCATTAGACAACTTCAGGTGAGTCTAGGATGGGTTTTAGGTTTGTTTTTTAAAGTTTTTTTAACAGAGCCTCAACTTGGCCAACAACGAATTGACTGAAATGATCGCTGGTGCTATTGAGACTCATAAAAATTTAACCGACTTGAATTTATCAAACAATTTGCTTGATTTTGTTCCATTTAGTCTAGCTAAGGTTGGAAATAGTCTACAAATACTCAACCTGGACAACAATCCAATCATGGAACTGACCTCTGAGTCATTCCTAGGTTAGTGTGTTTACAAATTATAAAAATAAGTAAAAACACGCGAATTTTAGGTCTAGGAAATATAATCGAACTCTCGGCCAACAACTTAACAAAATTGAAATACGTCAACGCCAATACTTTTGATTCTATGCCAAAAGTAAAAAAATTAAGTCTTTCAAACAACTTCCACTTGAGAGATATAGACCGTGAGGCTTTCGCCGCCAATCAAACCCTTGAAGAATTTTACCTAAACAACAATGAACTTTTCAGACTCGACTTTAACCTACTTCCCTGGTCAAAATTACATATTTTTGAATTCAAAAACAACCCGTTTGATTGTTCTTGTGACTTGTACAACATCACACTAGCACTTTCAAAAGACATCATCCGATCAGAAAACGGCCCCTACTGCATGGATCCTAGAACGGAACGCGAAATTCAAGTTTTTTACTTGAAAAGTGATATTTGCTCAGTCAAGGTTTAACACTATTAAACCCTGGGTAACACATTGTAATCGTCAATTGTTTCAGAGCAAACATGTGGTTCGTACTGAGTCCATCGAGTACCAATTTTCGATTGTTAGGATAAGTTTGATTGTATTGAGTGTTATTTTGATGTTGGTAGCCTTGGTTGCTGCAGTTTTAGGTGTGATAAAGTATAGGAGATACCAGAGGAATATGAGTTATCCCTACGCTACTCAAATTGCGTACGATCCCGTTTCAACAAATGCGCCGCGATTTTGAGTGTGAGGCAAAGCCGAGTTCCACAAAACCGAAAAGAATGACATTAAAACTAAAGCTAAACGTCGAATTTTAGGTCATGACCGGCTACCATATTAGATTTTTTTATATATTGAATTGTAAACTTTGTATACAGTGTAAGTAAAGAGGAATAAAAGGAAATAACAAAAAATCCCTTATCTTATCCTTATCATATCATTTAATTCCACAAATAAACATGGCAGACTTCTAAATACTTAACTTATCGAATCACAGTGTAATAAAGTGCGTATCATACAATGGTAAGTTTTGTGCATTTAGTGAAGCATCAAAAATTATTGTTTATTATATTTTTTTAGTATTTCCAGTACTTATATTTTTACTCGTACTTGTTTTTGATGTCGGTAACAGCTGAAGAAATCTTTGAAAATTCCACAAATATCTGCTCGAAATGCACTTGTGACTACTCCGATGATGCCCAAACTCTCACTCTCGACTGTTCTAAAAAACATTTTATTCATATGTTAGCCGCTTGGCCTCCACATAATGCCACTATTAAAGCAAGTTTCGCTTATAATAATCTCAAACACTTGCAAAAACTTCCATCAACTGCTGCTGTTGTTGAAATTATACTTTCTAACTGCAATCTCAAAATTTTAAACCCTGAACCATTGGAGAGTATCGTCAATATAAAATTTCTTGACTTAAGTCATAATCTTCTAACGTCAGAACAACTGACTCCAGGTATTTTTAAAGGTCCCTACAATGGTACTAAACCAACTGCGATAGCTCTAGAAGAGTTAGATTTGAGTTATAATCAAATTCATAGTCTTCAAAACAACGTTTTTAAGTTCGCACCAAATTTAAAACGACTTAATCTCAAAGGAAATGATTTTGTCTTGTTAGATATACATACACAATTGGCTCTTACTTCTCTAAGAGGTCTTACAGTAAGTACCTTGGCTAAATTGGCTTACATACTCTGTGTTTTACTTTTCAAGAGTCTGAATTTGGCTGACAATGAGCTGACCGATTTGGTAAAAAGTGCAATTGAAGGATTGGACTATTTGAGAGAGTTGGATTTGTCGATTAATGACTTGGATTTTGTTCCGTATAGTTTGAAAGCAGTGGCTAAAAGTTTGCAAGTTGTAATTTTAGACGGTAATCCTATTATCGAAATGACTGAGGAAAGCTTCCAAGGTATGGAAAACTCAAGTATGTTGTTATTACGTGGTGTGAGTCATTATGCAATTACGATTAAATTTTTTTATCTGTTTTCAGAATTACTCTTTTTGATTCATAATCTTTCGTTGGAAACCTAAAGAATTTAAGCATTTTGATAATTTCCAATTTATTTAAAACCTAAATACTTTTCTTTTTGGATTAGAAGATTCCTCAAAATGTTTTTGATTTATTCAACTTGATATTCATTAAATGAAAAAAAATCTACCACCTCTTTATCATACAAATAATTTTTAATATCCAATTTTTTTTCTGTCAAAACTGTTTTCAGGCTTAGAAAAATTGAGCGAAATATCTGCCAACAACTTGACCAAACTCCACCACATCAACTCGAGTGCTTTCGCACCAACCCTAAACCTAAAAAAACTGAGCCTCACAAACAACCCTTCACTTGAAGACATCAATGTCGACGCTTTTTCCCCCAACCAAGCAATCGAAGAGGTAACAAAAATCCCAACTTTGCATTTTTTTAACTAACTATATTTTATTTCAGCTTTATTTAAATGATAACAATCTTTCAACGGTCCCTTTCGATCTCATTTCTTGGCAACAATTGACCAATTTCGCTCTCAATAACAATCCCCTAACTTGTAATTGCGACTTGTACAAAATCGCCACATCTCTTCCTACGTCTATAACTCGAATTTCAAACGGTCCGACCTGTTTCGACCTTCACACCTCGACCACCATCATGGTCTACAACCTCGACAGCGCCATCTGCGAGCCACAAACTCTTCCAGCTCTCAAACCTCGAATCTTACGACACCATTTCTCCATCCCCCTCACCGGTCTCATCGTAGTCCTCTCATTGGGACTTTTCGTAGCCATCGCCTTAGGCTACAGTCGATACAAAAAATTCGCTTCAGCGACGAGAAACCCATATGTATCACAGGTCGTCTATAGTCCGCTGTTCAATCGCGCGGTCTAAAATAAAATCTCACCTCTGCTGTTCCGGCCAGCTGCTTCGTATACGTTAGGAATTGGTTGAGGAGGTCTTCGGCTTTCCGGGCGACCTCTTTGAACCTGTAGAGAGCTTCAAGCTGTTCGATGCATCTCACACAGATGACGTGCGGCAGAGGGTCGCTCTTGGCAACCTGGAAAGTGATTATTACGGTGATTAATTCGTGTTGCGTAAATTTTCGTATGTGTGTGTTTTGGTGTTGTGAAGGATTATTTTTAGGTGTGATTAATAGACAAATCCTAGATTTCCCTAGTATGTTATCGAAACCGGGGAACGATGTGTGCATAGATAACGGCTAATTGTACGATTAAAAAAAACTGAAACTCTAGCTCGACGCTTTTTGTTGTTGTTACTTTCTACATGGTTAATTCTAGATTTGTGTTAATGACAGTTGACGTAAGAATAATAATAAATAAAATGGTAAAATATATGCAGCGACTGAATTAATAATAGAATTAGGAAAGATTATTCCAAACAATTTTATTACTTTTAAGCTAATTATACAGTGAACCAAAAGTAGCGCATTCATAATCCTTTAAATCCCCGAACAGGTCAATTTTATTTTTGTAAATGATACATTTTCGTTATACTATTATTTATAATATCAATAATTTTTAAGTAACGACGTTATCAGTATTTTTTAAATGGCAACCAAACATTTTTGTTTACTGTTTTAGTAATATATTTTTTAAAAAGGTAGAAGAATGCATCTATTACCAAAAACAGTCAACAAAATCGTTGGTTGCCTCAAATATACAGGGTAGTTTTATCCTGCAAAAATTCAGGATTAGTTAGAACAATGAAAAATTGTTGGCGCCATTTATCTCTGGTAAGAAAGCGTTTTTGAACACTTGTTCGTAAGACAAACCCACATTATTTTCACGTATTCTAACTATTCCTGAATATTCGCCGGTAAAACGGAACTACCCTGTATAATATAGTTATTCTCGTTTATCGTTCATTGATTGAAATTTTTTTACAACTCCACCATGTACCAATTTTGAGATAGTAATTAATACTAAATATTCAATAAATTCAATTCAAAAATTACTTTGTAATTTATGTAGGTATATCATCATTAGTAAATATTGAATATTCACCAGCCATCTAAAATCATTTATTTTTGTCTCCAAAGTGAAACAGTTTACGAAATTTTTATTATCATTGAAAATCCGTTACAAAATCCCGAAGATTGAAGCGGAGTCCCGCAGAGAGCAATATTGAGACCACTACTTCCCACTTACATAACCAAATTACATAATCACATAATAAATAGCCCTGAGCAGCATGTTCACTCTATATCGATCATCAACATGTTGTGGTGCAGACATATCACTAATGCATTTTCGCCGGAAGTGTTAGAAATCATCATAAATTTAGAAATGGTTTAATTTTGGTAATACATAGTAATATAACCCTTTGGAAACAAATTGAATCTGTTTTTTCTTCTTTTTCTGTATTTACATAAATGAGAGATTTTAGTTCTCATTCCCAAAGAGTCTAGAAAAAAACAATACGAATAGAGAAAAACCCGCTGACCTTTATCTATCACAATGTAAAGTATAAAGCTTGATCAAAAATGATTTGCATATCAATTTATCTCTTAACAAAGTGGAGAGGGAATTCAATGTCCTACACGACCTAATTTCTTCCATTATACACAACAGTTCAGAAGTTTATATCTTCATTCTTTAATCCCCCACTCATCCGTCCACCATTTCTGTTCTTTCCGGGTGACGCAACTGAAACGATTCCAATCCTCGTACAAAAAAAACCTTACTATCAACATTTCAAACCTCAAGACATACTGAACACATAGTACCAACGCTAATTAAGTCGGTTTTTCCTGTGCCATGATCACGAGATTTGATAAGAGTGAACGCCGGAAGCACTTTCTAAGTCGGTTCTGATGCGCGTTCTGCACGGGTTGCCAGCCTTTTATCACATTGTGTTCAACCGCATAATTACTACTGATATTAATTAAAAGACGGCTCTCGTTATTATTAATTGTGACGGATTCGATGCGGATTTAGTGAAACCTTATTCTATAGAAAGCGCTCTCTATTCGGGCACAGCTGTGTGGTGCTTTTTTCCGAAATTTTAACGTCAGATGGGATGAAATGAGACCACCTTCTAAAAAAAATACCGATAAGGCGATGGGGTACAGAACACTCAAAAAGACAGAGTCAAAATAAATACATAATCACTTTTAGAGGGTATTTTGTTACAAAACATTCGTTTTGATTACAGGAACTACCACCTGTTTGCTATAAGTCATAAAGACAATAAAATAATGTATTTCCTTTATGCATAAAAACAATGGTGAAATGCCCGCAATTAATGATTTACACGCTATTAGGAAATACGATTTATTTTATTACTAAGTAATTAATTTTTTTTGATTCAATACTCTTTTAAAATCAATAAAAAAGCAAGGGTGGTGACTCATTTATTTCATTTTACAAGTGTCCATCTACAGACTTTTATCAGCATCGTATTGTTGATGTTGAAAATCATGTTTTAAAAACGAAATACTTTCTCATAGTTTTTCTTCTTGTCCTTATCAATTAAAAAATGCTTAAAGAATACAAAAAACATTTTTACGTTTTACAGACAAGTTAATGTGCGAATAAATTGGTCGTAAAATAAGTAATTGCAAAATTTATTAGAGGTCGGTCAAACAGAATAATATGGCCAAAAATTGTTTCTACGAAAAAATGCTTTAGGACGCACACAGGTACACAAGCTACAAAACATGATAAAATATATACGGGGTGTCTCAAGCAGACTTGGATATAGAAAATTAACATGGGAAATTAGTTCTATTTTTTTTTCCGGCTGCAGGAGTAATAGAAATCAAAATCTGATTGATGGAGTTTGTAGTACTTCAAAAGGGCTATCTTATCGATTCGGCCCTCGAAAAATCAAAATTTGAATTTGCCGGTTACTAAGAAACGAACTATCAAGTCATTATTGCCATAGGTACATTCTTCTACCTTTTTGTAAGAACATATTACCAAAAAGAGTAAACAAAAATGTTGTTTGCTATTTAAAAAAAATACTGATAACGTCGTTACTTAAAAATCATTGACATTATAAATAATAGTATAATAGAAATGTATCATTTACAAAAATAAAATGGACCTGTTCAAAGATTTAAAAAAAAATACCCAGAAAATTATAAATTTTGCGAGCTACTTTTGGTTCACCTGTATGTAACCTCTCAGGGAAGTAAAAATTTTACCTCCCCCATAGGAACGGAAAAAATGCTACTAGATTTAATAACGAAACTGTGATATATAGAAAAACTGTTATTTTTGAAGTTTTTCTTGCTGGATCGTAGGAAAAGTTATATGTATTATATGAAGGAAAAGATACATTTTCCGCCGTTGTAATACAAAAAACCATTTTTTAGAACTCATAAGAATGTGAAAACATTTGACATTAGTTCTGGTACAATTTGTATGCAACAAATTATTTCTTTCTATAGTGACTTACAAATTAAACCTGATGTAAACTAATTGACGTTAATACGCAAAATTTATAGAAGTAGACGCCTTTGAAATATGATGTCAATAAAGCTTCAGGTCAAAAATAATGCCAAGACCTTTGACGAAGTTTCTTTAATAAGCATCTTACTACATAATATGAGGCTGAGTCAACTGCATTCATTTTAAAAGTTGTAGGCTACAAAGAACACTTTTTTCTATTTAATTTTAGTTAAAATTTATTACTCTACTATATTATAAGAATATCAACACAATTTTGAAGGTTAACAGCATGTATGTCATTAACTATAGAAGAATATTATTTAATGTCAACAGCATAAACACCAACACTTAATAATTTTATGATAAAACAAGATCTTCGTTGAATAAAATAAAAAGGAGAGGTCCTAGAGTGCAGCCTTGGGGAACACCAATAACTTTTAATACATCGAGAGATAAAGAAATTAGCTTAACGTAGATATTTTAAAACTTAGTTTTATGTTCAAACTTTCCCTCCCACTCTCTCCTTATAATTTTTAACATCCAGATGTACGAAAAATTACCTCTTCAGTACGCCTCCGAAATCTCACGATTGTTAGAAGAGATAAAAGACAACGTGTGTTGTTTATTTATATCTCCAAGTTTCTTATGGCGAAATGACTCATTCATTATTTGACCGATTGTATAATATAAGTGATATCAACTTGTGGGAGAAGCTAATTTAAATTCACCATAAGTGAGCGATTTAAAAATGAAGCTGTATAAAAGCATAGTTCTTATCCATGGTTTTCCCCAAAACGTCATACACAATCCGCGATTTGATCCAGTGATCAGTGATCCATCTTGAGATGTGATCATTCACATCATCGTGTAATCAATTTGGGTTGGGGTCACGTTATTACGACAGCGCACAAAACCCCCTCAGGTGACCACAAAAGATCAGTCTCGCTACGATTTTCTGTGGAAAATCACCTAATTATATCAATCAAGGTCACAGCAGACACCTACACTAAAAATGTTCAATTTATAAACAAGCCGAAGAGAGAAAAAAAAAGCAATTGTTACGACAGATTCTATACTATACAGCGTGAGTCACGCTGAAAAATCATTCGTAAATGTCATCGACGCGATAGCTTGATCGATTTCAAGAATCAAATAAACCGATTACTGTCATTCGCACTCGTATTTTTATAGGAATTTTGTATTCAATGACGTCCGAACGGCCTGCAAGATCGTATCAAGAATAATTGCGACTGTCGTTTGTTTTGAAAAAAGCCTTGAAATCCGTAGGCAGATCGGATGATAATCGATAAGAATGTCAGAGTCAGTGGCGTGACCAGTGGGGAAACCGACATGATCTTGGAAAAAATTCTCTCCAGCAAACAAAAAATGATAACTGACATTGACTGCATTGTTTTCGTAACCAACTGTGCCACAAAATTTTATACACGAAGACTCATAAAATGTAGAAAGACGTGCTTCCGTCATAACAACAGTTGGTGTTTTTTTCGCTATCAAAGTTTATGCTTTAATGATAATAGAGAGGAACTGCACTTCCATTAAAATCATTAAATCAGAAAAGCGAATGTTTCGAATAAAAACTGATTTTAATTCATTTCCTCTCAATTAAAGAGAGAGTATTGCATTTGACCACTTTCAGTCAGCCATGCAGGACAGGGCCTCTTCACTTTTTGTTATTTATTTCTTTCAATATAATAACGATTTGTTTAAGAGACGAGCATTCATTTAAACATCACGAAGATACGCCTGTAGCAGCAAAAAGTTTACCACATTCCGATAGGTTCATAATTAATAATTTATTATACTTGTGTATTTTACAGTTTCATTGAGCACCAAGTGTTGATTCATTCAACAGTGCTATACAGTACGTTCCATAACTCAATGCTACAATTTACAATTTTTAAACTACATTTTCTCAATAAAAATCAGTGAATATTTATTTACGTATTCAGGGATGTTGAGAAGATCATAATTTACTATATTAAATTAAGAAATTAAATTTCAATTTCTGAAAATGTTAATATTTGAAGGTTTAAATTGTCAGAACTGTCACAAAGTTGGGCGGTAACGAAAGATGGAGTGTGTATTATTGACAACGTAACGATTGTAAATTATATTATTATTATTATATTATTCACAGTAACATAGAACGACGAAATAGTATATTACTACCGAGTTTGGAAATAAGAGTGTAATGATATTCTAACCGAGATTTGTGGAGTGGCCAGAAAGATATACAGTGTTACAAGCTTTTATGAGTTTGATTCTTTAATTCTTTAATAAAATATCTGTTTTATGACAAAGTTATATTCGACGTTTTTGACATTTCGACTCATGCAACGAAGACTCATTTTATATTTAACTGAGAAATAAACTCATAAGATTTTATACTACTTTTGATTTTAACAAATTCCTGTATCTAAATAGAAATATCTATCCGGCTGCTACTCATTTTTTTTAGTGTTATGAATTAGATAACTGTTAAATCATGACATGACAAAAATGTTTTGTTTTTTATTATTATTAATCAATTTTCTCCAAATAAAAGCGAGTAAGTACGATAAAAAAATGTACCAAACTTTAAATTCAATAGAAGTACAAAATGAATTTTGTTGTAAAAGAATTTTCATAGAACTTACTTTAGAGAGTAGAAAACATAGCCCTGAAACCCAGACTATATATTTGTAATTATGTATCTATTCATTTTTACATTTTTTTTTTAGTTTTAAAGTAAAGTAACATATCTCGTCAAAGTTTTTAAAAAAGTGATTTAAGTAAGAACTTGCAAAAATAGAATACAATCAGATTTAAAATTACAATTTTTGAATTTGTTAACCTTCAACTTGTCAATTTGTCATTTCATTAAACTAAAGGGGGCGATAACCCCGCGACAAAAAACTACAAAAAAGTTTGTTTTTTAAACTAAAAGCAGGAAGAGTTCTTAAAACAAATAGAAATATGTGTTATAATTCCCGAAAATTTAAGTATGAGCGAAACGTTTTAACAAAAAATTCATATCAGATAGTATCACACCATTCGTGATATTTCAGTCAGTTGTCTAAAAACAGCACGTTATCGCATTATTCAGTCTGCATATTTGGACATGTAAAATTCTTCGAAGCAGCTGTTGTAACCACAGCAGAAACAAACACTATCAAAAATAACATTTATGAAACAAACAAAACTGCGCTGATTAGTCAGTCGTGTGTTAAAAATACCGCAATGATAAACCCAGTCGTGTAGTAACCGAACTTAACCTAACTTTTTCGTGCCGTCACGTGACCCAAAACAATCCGAGCATGTAAACGTATCGCGGATCCGGCAACGTCGCCTTCTTTGTTTTCGTCGATTCTTTTGTTCGCATAATTAAAGCGCTCGCTATCACAGAGTCGGCCGTTATCTGTTCGCATAAATAATCGTCTCTCTCGGCCAACCGGTTGAATTTTTTCCTCTCCGTCGTCGAATCTGAAATTCTGATAAGAACGGCATGCCGTCGAAGGCGGCCGTGCGTTGTTTTTCAGCTGGCGAGAAGCGAGATCGCAGCAGGCCGCGCTCGACGGCACACAAAGAGACCGGACGGCGTTATCATCGCCTTATCGAAAACTTTCACATAACCTAACTGGTCGGCTGTAATCAAAGCGCAATCGAGTGCATCTAGGCGGCCCACGCGCGACAGGCAGATGTTTCGGGGGTATTATTAGTGTGCTCTGGAAATAGAGTGCAGCGAGGCCGGCCCTGGACGGGCCCGAAGCCGTCCAGAACGGCCCTGGCGCTTATCAGACAATGAATCACCTACCAGGATGGAGAGACACGTCATTATCTTGGCCGGGAGGTCGTCGTGGGCGCCTGCATCCTCGAAAATCCCAACACCATCCTTATCTATCGATAAACAAAGACGACAGAGCTGATAAAACTTTGGCGGTACATTACACATATTCGAACACTTCCAACACAAAAACAAAGGGACACATCAAGCACACCGACACATGAAACATTAATTTCGAACTAGTTCACAGCCTCGCGGTTATTGTTGAGCCTTTTTTCAGTGATTTGCGAGAGAGACTTCGCCGCACCAACTCGAGCACATTTCACGTTTGTCAAGAGCTCGCTTAGAAATTAAGGCACTGCCATGGCCACCTTGATTAAAAAGGTAAGCTGATTACGGCAGGAGGACCCAAACAGAGCTTACTCCTCCGACAGACAGGTGGCGACGGTCTTCGGAAGAGTGGTCAATCCTGAATCCAGGAAGTGGGGCTGTTGAAGCACTGCCTTCACTCGAGGACCTCAAAACGCGCCAGTTCAGATGGTTGTATAACCTACAAGGCGCAACTAGGACACCTCTCATTGCCAACATAAACATTCAATATCCCCATACATTTTTGAAATATTTTTTCTGTAAATTTATACACAAATAATTTTGATTTAACTATTGTTGTATATATTTACTATAGTTTCATCATTTTCTTAATTTCGCATAAAAAAACAAAGTTTTTGTATCAAATTCAAATGAGTAAATAATATTTTCTTTTATATGTATTTTTTGAGTTACACTTATTTACTTAAAATATAACTACATTTATTTCATTAAAAAATTGCTTTAAAAACAACTAAATACCAGCTTTAATAAACCTGTTTTTTACTTTAAAGTGTTTATTATTTTCCATTAGTGGTTTGCGTAAAAATAACGACTGTTAACATTACACCAGTGCACAAGTGGTTGCATATCAAACAACAGTAATTGTGCCTGCGCTGCTAGTATTTTTTGCCACCCTTGGTTATTCCTATTTAATAATAATAAATTAGTTTTGCAATTGCTATTAAAGGCACTTACTGGCTATCGTTTGTTTGTGCTTTAAACAGTTTTATTTATTAATCGCTTATTAACAAACGAGTTGATTACAACATTTTTATTGTTGACAGCAAACTTTTTTATTCTGGTGACAAAATTTGAAATTATATAATACCAAATCAAAACCAATTTCATGTACAATGTAGTCATTGATTGTCATTGTTTTTTGTTTCTGTGCGTATATTTGGTCGCCCATATCAAATCCCCATCACGTCGAAATCACAAAAGAGTTACGTAATGAAAAAGAGTGTATTAATGACGTCCATTAAAACATCCTTTTGACGCATTTTTTTAGATAAAACTATTCATTAATATTGACAAACGGTCAATGAAAAAAATAATAATAAAAGGAGGGGTCGACTGACATCATTTTGAAGCTGCTTTCAATGTTATTTATTTATTGCTATTTAAATTTTTTAAAAGGTTGCTTTGGTCGCTTGAGGAATTCAGAAATAACTTTAAAACTAAGATCAAATTTGGTTTCCTTTTAGGTAAGTTAAATTTGAACTGTTTCAGCATTTTTTTCTAACTTGGACGAAATCTGAGATATTAGGGGGTGCAAATTTTGTATATACCGTTTTACTTAACACTTCCTTTTATGTTTGTTATTTTTTTCTATTTTTTTTTAACTCAACAATTCTCTCTATGTGCCCAGATATTTTTTGGCATTGGCTTAGATATGTAAATGATTTTTTGATTATTGATTTGGTTTTAAATTGCAAATTCGTAGACGAGCCCTCTGTCTCCCTCAAAAATCAAAACAAAAGCTCTTGCATTTAATTCTTTTAAATAGTTAGCTAAATATTCTGTTTGTTGTTTTGCCTGCCACTTACAGGAAAATCTTTAGTGTAAATACGCGACATTACATACTCGTATCTTTTCAATAATGTACACTCAGAAAAGTTGAAAATGACGTGTTTATAAACCACCCTCATTATTTGATTCCTCCTACCTAACCGCAATTATAAACCATCTGCGAGGAGAAAGTAATAAAAATGCTTTTGCATTTAGCCTCAACATTTCTTTTAAGTAAATCTTGTCAGGTGATAGTTATTATAATTAAACGTGTGTAAAGTGTGTTATACGGTGTGTTATACTAAAACGAGCAAATTTGTAATTTTGAAACGTCATCAGTGGAAAGAAAAGTAACTTTTTTCTTGATTTTGGGATTTTTCTCTGCTTATTAAGTCCCACCATAATGGCGGTTTTTTTTTTTAATTTTAGTTTTAGTTTTATTTTTTTTTGTAGGTTCTGGAATGTCAAAAGTTTGGCTAGCTTGGTTCACAGACATACAGTTTGCCGAAAGGTGTACTGTCTTTAATAACTTTATGACCACCTCAACATAAAACTGTAACCATTCTCCAACTTGTTTGAAATAGTCGAATTCACAGAGTGAATATAAAGTATGGAAGCAAGCGGTTTTTTTTTAAATCATTTTCCTTCAGAAAATAATAATTAATATAAATTAAAGTATGTATTTTGAGAACAAAATTTTGTTTTGTTTTCGAGTTGTGCAAGTTTTCTTGTCTAAATTGCAATTTAGGTAGGCATATAAAAAGAAATTGAAAAAATTAAATGTAAAGTAGATGGGTTGTAATCCTTAAATCATAACCTTTATGAGAAAAATGGTTTTATAGTGGGTTGCCATTTAAAAAATAAAATATTTTGTAAAACTCAAAAAAAAATCCTTAATAAAACATCACTTTATACGAGTAGTAGTCTATCATTCGTCAATTAGTTTTTCTAAAAAATAAATAGTTTAAGTACTTTTTGCTTTTACAGTTTCAAAATCAGAATGTTTATTTACTCTCGTACTTAAGTATAGCATAGCACAATACATGTAAACTTAAGTAAACAAATCTAGGAAAAATCCATTTGTACTATTACACAATGAAGTACTGATAATTAAGTGGATTGTTGGATCTTTATTAACTTCAATTATCTAATTATTGTAACCAGAAATAAGTATTTTGTGTGTCAACAAATTATAGTTTAGTGGTGCTATTTTACGCCCAAGAGCGATCTTGTTAAATACGAGTTAAACCATATACAATGACAAATTTTTGGTTTTTGTCTTCCATTCCTACAATATAAAAAGCAACCCTCATTGCTCGTTGCTCGTTTTTGAGTTAATAAAAAATATAATATCAAACAATAAATACCAATAAATTTATATTGAAATTAATCATTAAATAAAAATAGCATTTATCAATAATTTATGGCAGACATCCATAAGTGATAAAAATTTGCTAATAAGTTAAAAAATTATCAAAAACTTGTAAAATAAAAGCAATAAACAAAATTTAATGCCACATTATTTGAACATTGATAAAATGTATTAAATTGTTTCAAAATTAGAGTTAGTAAAATTTTTATGACCTTTATTAAATTTCTTTCTTTCATGTACCAATAACATTATTAGAAATAAAAAAAAACATATAACTAATAAAATAATAAATAAGTGGTAAAACAGGTCATGCACATTTTAAGCAAATACTTTGTGGTAATTGATAAACCTTCTTATCAATATTCTTTTTTTTAACGGTGACTCAATTAGTAACAAAACTATTCCAAAACCTTGTCTATCAAAGTCAAGGACGCGTCCAAGCCCCAAAATTTTGTTTTTATTCAAATTATCAGAACTAAATAGGTCTTTGCTCTAAAAATCTTATTGTAAACAAAATATTAGACTTTTTCAAATCGTTCATCCTGCCGATAATCGAACAAGAATCGGTCCGTTGAAACCACACTCAACTGGTGTGTTCTCGCCGCTTCCTGCAATTTACATAAAAAATCCAACATCACATAGATAAGAGATTTTTCCGGGTCACTGTAACCAATTCTGGCCCAGTAGGTAAACCAAGACCAGCGGTCATCCCTTTGACGTCACCATCGACGACGCCTTTATTTGCCCACTGATCGATATCTTTCGAGATGGTCAGGTATATGGTATTCCTTTGCAAAAATCGCGCAAAAACGCGCTCATTATCCATCGAATTGTCAAGATCTAGATCGGGCAAGAAATATCCGGAAAATCAAACTCAAGCCTATTTATCCGAGAGTGGTCACTTTTAGTGTCCAGTCTGCGTGTCTGAAGAACAGGTGAAAAACGACGAAACGTCCTAGTGAGTGTCTTGTTATTTTGCCTTGGGATTTTACCGATAACGCGGTGGCTAAATCGCGCATATATTTACTTAATTTTGTGTTATCTATGGTCTTTGTTATAATCGAAGCTGTTTTTCAGGTAATAACAATAATGACTCCTGCCAACATCATATGTTACGTAACTATTCTCCTTGTTGCTGTCTTCACTTTTGCGCAAACAGGTGAGTATTTTTCGATTTATTGATGATTATTCATTAGAAGAAAAAAAACATTTTTGCTAAAATCAGTAGGAACATTTAGAAGAATTACTTGATTTCCTAATAATAATAAGTCATTTTTATTAGTTTGTGTCTACTTAATTGCGATATGAGTATGAGTAAGACACTGTTGATATCATTGTTTGATTGTTATCGAAATGTTACAATATTTGTTTTAAATGTTGCAAAGATTGAAGTGTTTTAATAAAAATTGCAATTTTTATGTATCTTTTGTAATAGACCAAAATATTTATGCAAACACCTAATTACAAGTAAATATTTGCATTTTTATTTATATAAATTTTGGTTTGAAATTCGGTTTGACGTCGCTACCAACCTTGGAGAAATAATTTGTACTGATCTATTAAAATATTCAAACTGCTACTTTAACATTATTTTAAATAAATTTGGTAATATTAAATAATACAGAAACAAGAGATGTGAAAACATGATGAAAACTGCTGAACCTCATTTCTTCTGTCTTCAAATTTCAGTTTGTGTTACAGGTTTTAAACCGAATATAATAGTACCTACTCAGTTTTTGCTTTATGTAGACCTGGAATGTAAACATAAAAGTTCTTTTTAGACACTAAATTTTGATTATGAGTTAAGATTGAAAACAAAAGTAGGATAGGAACATTTTAATACTAGTACTTGATGTAGTACTTAACTACCTACCTACTTAAAATGTGTATCTTGTAAATCAAGCAGATAATTACATAGAGTACAATACAATTTATCTAATTAATTTAAGTACACTTTTAACGTAACCAATATTTTACGGTTCTATTCAATATGGTTATTTTTATATTAAGTAGGTATGCAAAACGACAATTTTTTTTGACGCGAGAATATGATGCCGTTTGAGACAAAGCGTTGAAAAACAATTTGGCACACATAATACTACAAGGTGTTTCACACAACTTTACGAGGATTGCGCCTGATGTACGCACCCAAACATACAAAAGTCACAAAACACTAGATACAAAAAATACACATTTAATTATTTAATTTTTGGTAATCCTTGACAGTAGTTGTCAAACTAATCACTGTTTCATTAATAGTCATAAACTTCAATTTTTTAGAAACAATTATCATTTGTTCTGTCAAGAGACGAAATGAATATGATTCTAGTTTAACTATCTTAATCACTAACTAACTAAAAACGTTGTAATTTTTTAAAGGGTAAACAAACTAGAGAAGATTATCCAATTTTTCAAAATTTGTAATCGAGTTCGTATCGGAATATGTATTATTGATTGCATCTTGCAGGCGCAGGAATCGTAAAATTATGTGAAACACCCTATATAATAGTAGAATAGTAGAAGTAATGAAAATTAAAGGTTTTGGTTTTCGTGCGATTGAACAATATTTTCACGAGATAGTAAACTTTCAGTTTTCTTACGAGTTATTTTTACACCAATTTCTTGCAAAGTTGTGTTTTAATGTGTAACATTTTTTTACTGGGAGAACTCACAAAAAATCAAAAATATCAAACAAAATATCAAAAAAATTACACAAAATCATGTACGCAGCTTATACAGTGAACTGCAAAATTATGGAATAATTTTAAAAACTAATAGTTATTTATTGTAAGAGTGTGTTAGATAGCGTTTTATCCACACAAGAATATTTAACCGCGAGAACGTCAGTTCGAGGCCCAAATTATTCCAAACTTCATTAAAAATTAAGCTGACATTTAAATGTCACGTCAAATGTGCTTTCGGTTAAACGTAGTAAGCTGTTACGCGGTGCGCTGGTTACTAACAGTGGAATAAAGTTACTTTATTCCACTAGTGGATAAAGTGGTAGTTTATACGCATCTAAAGTGTGGAATAAAATCTCTTTATAGAGTGATGGTGGATAAAAATATTTTGTTTTGACAAAATGCTCGAACAGGTCAATTTTCTTTTTAAAAATACACAATTTTCAACTTGATTTAAAATTTTACACTTTTTGGTTTTTGAGTAATGACGTCATCGACATTTGTTTTAAATGGAAACCTCCATTTTTTTAGCACGTTTGATAGATCTTTTGATAATTGTGGAAATGACAACACCAAAATATTGAAAATTAATGTTTTTGAGAAAAAGATTATTCCATAATTTTACCGCTCAGTGTATATGCAACATTATAGATTTGGGTCAATAAAAAAAATTATAAGTAAATTACGAGCAAAACATTAATAAAAATTACCAAAGTTACTGCTACAGCTAGTGCAAGATTATACAGAATGTCCCCGAATTGAGTTTAGGAATTTGTTTTTAGCTTTAATTTTACGCTAAAACTGCAAAGAAAAATCATTTTTTGCTTCACCTGAAACGAGTATAAATCTGTAATTAAACTTCATTATTCTGATTCAGTGAAAAGAAAAGTTAATTTAGAGATTAATTAAAGTCCAAAATCAAGAGAAAAATTAACTTTTCTTTCTACTGAGTTAAAATAATGAAGTTTTAATTACAAATTTGCTCGTTTCAGCTAAAGCAAAAAATGTTTTTCCTTTGCAGTTTTGGCGTAAAATCAAAAATTTTTTTTTCCTCTTGTAAACTCAATCCGGGGACATACTGTATATTTGGGTCAAAATTGATATTGCAGTGCCACTTCAACATCTAGAGCAAGATTATAGATTTGGGTCAATGCTGATAAAGCAGTTTTTTACTTCGGTACTTCACACAAAATTTACACAATATTTCTAATTTTAGTAAATGGGATTAAATGCTTCCAATGCAATTCTTTTGAACATCCCGCTTGTGCCAATATCACTGCCAACGACACCAACAGCCCCTTTTTTCACAAATGTCAACCTCGAGACAACCATCAAATGTTCTGTAGAAAAACAGTCCAAACCGTCCTAGACACGCCCCAATTTACTCGAATTACAAGAAGTTGCGGTTGGTTTCTCTACAAGACTAACAAGAGTCTATGTCAAGTTACAGACACCGATTTTAAACTGGAGACTTCGTGTCAGTGTTTTACAGATGGCTGTAATGGGGGAACAGTGCTGACACCTATATCTGGTGTAGTAGCGTTAGTGCTAGGTGGATTACTCTTAAGTTAGGTTTTTGAGATTATGCTGTTTGAATTACGATTAGATCTAATGTGTATGTAAAGAATTGACAGGAATGTAATTAATATTTATTTATGCATTGGCTTTGCGCGTGTGTGATATCCACTCATTGATTTTTGATAAGAGTGTGTTGTGTATTTAATTTTTTCTAGTAAAATAAATGGAATCTGCATTGTTAATTTAGTACAATTTTATTGCGTAGCCTATTTTAATTGCTATATAATTTAACTTATACTCAGAATTTACATAAACATTTTTTTATTTAATTACTTAATTAGAATTTGTTGTGAAACAATTGTTGTTAAATAAATTTGTTTACTTTAGTTTTACTCAATTTGTAAAAAAATATAACGTGTAGTTATTTATTCCTTGCAAATCTAACAAATAACAGGAAACAGAAAACTTTACAAGTTTAGTTCACATTTTTTGTTTATCCCTATTTCCAATTTTCCAAAATTCTAACAACCACTAAAAGTTTACCTAAACTATTACAACGCTCAACAAATTTCCAAAATAAACCAATAAAAAATTGGCTTCGTTCCAATTAAGTGCAAAGCCTGGTGAAATGTAAATAAAGTTAAAAATAGAATAGTTAGTGTTTTGGTGAGAAACAAATGTTGTTGCATTCAATGAAACAATTTTGAGTTGAAAGGTGTATTTTATCACAGGTAAAAAGTAACCTCATACATTAATCAAACTAATTATTACTTAAATATTTAAAAAATAAAATGATTAAGGGTGAGTCATTAATCTCTGTTTTGTTATGAAGTCAGAATATTCAAAAATAATTTTCTTTAACAAAATGCAAAAGTAGAAGTAAAATTTGTTTATTATATGTATTTGTGAACTTTGCTAATATTAATAATTCACCCTGTACGTAAACTTTTATAATCTTCTGTAACTAATTTAATAAAATTATTTTTTAGACATCGATCCTTCAGAATGACTTCTCCGAAATTTATTTACGTATCGCTAATAATACTTCCCTTTATCTTTCATACAGGTGAGTTTTCATAACGTTTCGATGTCAGTCTAATAAAATTGTGCAACATTTATTACTTAATATGGTTATATCTCTCCGGGGATTCACATAACTTTTTTCTAGGGCATTCTATTCTGTGCTACAACTGCTCCTCTCACTCAGACCCCGAATGTGCTGACATAAAACCAACTGAAAATTCATCTCTTCTTCAGGAATGCCATCGATTGGACGCTTTCTGTCGTAAAACTATACAAATCATAGTTTCTGAATCTCTGACAATTATTACACGAGGTTGCGGATGGAAAAAATTCGAAGAACACGCTGATGATTATTGTTATGTTGCTAATACTAATTTTAAAAAAGAAACAAGTTGTCAGTGTTTCACAGATGCCTGTAATAAGGCTGATAGTTTAATAGCAATAGATGTGCTAATTTTGTCAGGTATTATTTTTACGTTAATTAGCTTATCGGGTTATTAAACTGACAGATAAAATGGGTGTGACGTCAGAGTGTGACATTCCTGATGGATAATTATTTTTATTTATAGGTATTTGCTTCTATAAAAAGCAGATAATAATATAACAAACTTGTTTGGTTTCGGGGATAATGTAGGGAAAAGAATAAGTTATTGATTAAATCTTTGGTTGAATGGAATCTTTCATTTCAAGGAAAAAAATACTCCTAATTATGTTAGTTTTAGTGTAAATATAATTATAGAACATTGAAATTTTAGGGTTTATGAAGTAGAACTATTATTCATTTTGTATAAATACGTTTGTACCAATGTACATTGTTTAATTCTAAAACATTTTTGCTTGCGATTATTATTTAAATCCTATAATTTTTTATTTAGATTCTTTATAAAATTTTCTTTATTAATTAATAAAATGGATTTTTCATCAGTTGTGTTTTATATTTATTGCAAAAGTTCAACAACATCGTGAATTCATGAATAAGAGTTTATCATTCAAATCTTTGTATTTCAAGATTAGAAGGAAGGAAGATATAATCACAAATCCTAATTATTTAAGTAATAGTACATTACATATCGAGGTGGGAAGTGCTTTATTACCAAAACAAAATTTTATGTCCAAGGCGTGAAGCGCCGCGGTTAGCAATAAGCCGTAATACAATAAAACAACGACCACTAAGGTTTATACATATACTATTTTATTCACAATCATCCTCCTTAAAAAAAACAGAAAGACAATAAAATATTTACCAAATTTTGAAAAATATAACATAGTACAGTTCGGATAAGGAAACTGGTCACTTCCTTATCAGTTTTCGGGTTGGGATGTGTCATACATACTAACTTTTCACATGCAAGGTAATTTTATTATTACTTTATTATTGTGAGTAAAATATATTATAATCACCAATAAATATGTCAAATTAGAGTCACATTAAAAATACGTTTATTGTAACAAAAAGTTGCATAGTGCAAGTGCAATAAATATTTGTATTATCAAGAATTCTTTAATATTTTTAAATTAATTTTCTATTGGAACAAAAATGTGTTTAAAATGTATTTTTACAAAGGATAGTTAAAAACTGCTGTATAAAATCATAGTTTACATACATTTTTCTACTTAGGTTTGAATAATTTTATACATAGTTATGAATCATTTATATGATTTAATCAGAAATTTGTATTATTGCAATATTTTTACCGTTTTATGTAAAAGTTTGTTGTGATTGATTAATCAACGATCATATAAAAATGTTCCAATAACGTATGGAGTGTTGAAGCAAAACACTTGATACATTTAGAGATAATATGTTATTTGTAACAATATAATAAATATAAAAAATAGGTTAGCTTTGATTGACTGGAGTACCTACTACATAGAAAGTAGTATTTTGCCATAAGCTAAGTAGGAAAATTCAGTTTGTAAAATAATTAGGTAGATATACCTATAATTGTGCTTATTTTGTTAATACTCGGTTCATGGTAACTCAGCCTGAGATGGTTAATATATAAGATTACTTAATTAGATTTGATGGGGTTAATGTCACGCAGAAAAAAACTTAAACTGAGTGGTAAAATTTAACACGCAAAAATTGGATAATTTTGTATCGTTTTTTTAAACATCCTGTTTCAAATGTCCGTTTTTCGAGCTCCACCATGAGGATCTCAGTTATTGTAGGAGATACGAGTTCGGTTAAATTAAGACAATGTTGCGCATTTTTACGATGAACAATTATCTGAAAAAAAAATTAATGTGTCATTTTTAGTTTTTAATTATTGGAAAAAAACGGAAATTTTAATTTTAGTTTTTATTTTTTCAAGCGAAAACTAAAAGACCTAGAGACGTTTGAACTAGGACGTTCTTAAGGCACTAAATATGTCATTGTATTTTCCAAGGCGTTGTTGATGTCAGAGTTCATTCAACTTTGGATTTTTTTACAGACGCCATTCGATTTCTGTATTTTTGAAAAGTCTTTTTATTCCTGATTAGAACGATGTATCACACGAAATAATCAATATTTACTTGCTGATCAAAACTGAGAAAAAAGCGTTTGTGAAGTGTGCTTCAGAAAAGACACCAACAATTTTGTTTAACAAACTAAATTTTCACAGTTCCAGTAATAACGATTAAAAGATAAGTTAACAAATATGACGATGCAGCCAAAATTGGGCTCACTACTTGTACGCTTTTTTTTTAATAGAAGTGTACATACTTAAATGTATACGGAAAAGCAAATTCTGAACAAAAATTTTCACCTTGAAAAATATTATGCTTTAACTTAATTTTTTTAGGATTGTTAAGTTAATAACACAAAAGTAGAATTTTCGACATAGTTTCAAACATTTTCAAATTATGTCAATAACAGCTAGTTTTCTTTATTTTAAATTAAAATGCAGCAATATAAATCATGAAGTACCAAAAATGAAATGAAATAATAAATGTTATTGTTATTGTTAATTTGTTTTTCTTTCCTTCTCTTCAACATACACATTGTAGGTAATTTCTGTTTCATATTAATTTATTCTTTTGCACTTCCTCGTCACAAATCGTGGCATTACAAACACAATTGCTAGATCAAAAACAATTATTTTGTAAATAATAATCTAAATCTAAGTGCTGGTTTTTGTTAACATCAAAACATAATTTTGAAATCTAACTTCACCATGACTGAGCAACACTACGATAGATGATTAGATTAGTTGTTGCTAATACCGCATTTTAAACGAAAAATTTTCTAATCTGTTAACGTTACTAACACAAAACTGTAACATTAGTTCCAAAATTCAAACTTCTCAGGAGCAACATTATCAGTTTGTCACACTAATATACAAAGTGATGAAGAATGGCTGTTTCAGTCGGTAGCATATTTGAAAGAATTTTTCTCAACAATTTGCAATACTGCTCATACGGTTTTTCTTGAAAAATATTTGACGTACAACTTAATGAAATTTCTGCGTTGATAACGGAAATTGTTCTCATTTTAATAATAAAATTCAGAAATGCCAAATCATTCTTGATTACTTTGTTTCAACGCAGAGTAATGTGAAGTGTTAAATATTCGAATTTTAGATAACATAATAAATGGTTTTAAACTACTAGTAGAACAGTGTGTTATTATTTGTCTTGTTTTTTTTTTCTTTTGCGACGTATTCGGCTAGACGTCGTGACGCCCCTGTGGCGACTGCCGATCACATGACTACGCATTTAGGCCACCGCCACTACCTCTTATTGTATTGAATCGAAATCTGTAGCAACAGGAAAAACACGTTAGACGTGGTTGAATTAAACAATTAAAATGGCCCGTTGCCATATCTGGGCCAAATATTCAGCGATGAAAAATTCGCGTCGAGTTATGGGCCGCGACTTGCCAACGACTTTTAGAAGAAATGGAGCAGTTAAATTGATTCGTGCGGTGAAGAAGTTTCCCAGAATCGGGAAAAATTGAGCACTTGTATTTTAAAATGTTGCGAAAAATTGGACTTTGTCACTCTTGACGGTTAGTTCCAAAAAGTGATAACAAATTGATTTTGAATTTTGAAGCACTGTGAGAGGTTGAATCACTTGAGGAAAAAAACAAGTTTGCAATATTGTTTGCTCATCCTTATACATACTAGGATTAAATTTTAAGCTGTACGCATTTTTATTTTTACTTTTATTTATTATAGGAGAACATTCATTAATTATCAGAAAATCAAAACAAGGTGTACTTAATTTATTAATTCAGTGATTCTTGTCCTGTCACATGTGATAAATAGACGACATATATCATATATTTACTGTAACAATGGTATCTCCAAAATTTGGAAGATGAGAGATTTATTAAATTAAAAATCATACAAGTACTACAATAAAAATCATTCACTACCTGATATAAAAATACACAGTAGGAAAGGAATAGTAGTTTTACTTCGAAGATTGCTCTCCTAATCGATGACATTGTCTGCCAATCTTCGATTCATGATATAACTAAAAGAAAATTCGAGAGCACGCACGTTGGAAAAATATTTGCACTACACTTTTAATCTAACTTATTGTTAGATAATTACGATAGCTGTCAATTAAATTTTTAGTAAACTAGAAGTAGATATTCATAAAAAATTAAGTTTTAGATAACAAAAAATGTTTTGCAATGATGCTTTTACCTAATATCCAAACTTTTTACTTTTGTGTCGTGCTAAAATTTGGCGAATTGTTTTTAGCACAATGAATTCAATTCTACAGTTATTTTTTCTAATATTTTAAGAAGCAAAATGTGAAAATTATGCTCATGTCATCGAACACATAATCTAACATCTTTCTCAGAAAAATGTTTACAATGCAAGTGGGGGATCAAAATACACTGGTATCTATCGACACGTATAACTATAATGCCGGAAATGACTTAAAAACAAAGCTTTTTATTTTTGATAAGTTATCGTTTTGTTAGGTTATTAATCCAAATAAAACTGATTGTATTATAAAAAAAATTACATATATTACATGAATCCACCGACATAAATATTTATCATTGAATATGTACTCGTATTTTCCCATAACTAAAACAGTTTTCATCTTATTTTTTATGCTTTTATTTCTAGCAAAACAGGAATTTTTACCAAGTTTAGCAAGTCTTTCTGTCTTTTTACTAATTGTATGTAAAATAGATGAAAAACGCCCTAAGCCATAACTGCATTATTTTTAAAGATATGATAAGACTTCTTATAACATGCACAGGTTACTGTTATTTATGGTTTGGGATCAATGCTCAATCAATGCTGCTTTCTGTTTCACCGGAACTGATAACTACTTCCATTTTTTAGAAAACCCTTTATATTTTATTATTTTTGCATTTCTCTTTAAATGGTCTTTCAGCAAGCTTACTATTTATTTATTATTTATCACTAACTTTTGTTTTTAGGCAAATTAAAAAAATAAATAAATTAAAGTAGGCTGTGGAAAGAATAGTAGTTTTAACTTATATATTTTTTTATTATACCTGCATCATAATCCCAAATTAAAACACTTTGCAGCGTGCGTAATATGGCCTTTATAGCACGCTGAAATTTTAAAGTTGTCTAGGTAACAAGAAATGTCTGAACCAATTACAACGTGAAAAAATGTGCTTCTGCTTAACAACGTAAACTAGTAACCGTCTCTACGAAAACGATTCACAAACAACCTTTGATAATTTTGTTGTGTAAATTCACATTCTTTCAATGCTCATAAAAGATCGTAAATGGGCAGGTATAATACAAAATAGCGTATAACACTCGTTTACAAGCGCCTTTAAAAACGTTAAAAGCACTCCGCTGACTCGTCGTGCGTGTTTTAAAGGCTTGCTTATAAACTAGTATTGTAATATACTATCATCCAAAACAAGTAAACAACTGATAAAAAAACTGTTTAATGTTGATCAAAGAAGTATAACTTGTAACGACTTTAAAAGAATTGAAAAATGAAATTATGGTTTAGGTGTTTCTTATAATACAACGTGCAAAATTTTAATGTTAGAGTAAATAAAATTTGAACGAAGCAGTAATAAAAATAAAATAGTATAAATATTTCAAATTAAAGAAAAGAAGCATCATTATGTTAATTGCAATTAAACGTCAGATTAACTGATCATGTGACCAAATTGAACCAACCAAATGCTTATTTTCACGGGCTAATCGCGCATTATCTTTTAACAACGAATTAATTTTTTAATAAATTTTATTTTTGCGACGGTCTGTAGTTTATTTATCATTTAATTTTTCGATTTTTTGCAGAATAGAGTAGATGTTCACAGTTTTTCATTGATTTTAGACGCCTTATCAACACTCCTGAATGACAGTCCAACAGCTCATCAAGATTTCTATCGCCTCGTGATTACCTCCGTACGCATATCATTTCAGTCATCAAAGTTCAACGCTCTTGTAACAACCCTTCACCCTTCGGAAAATCGAACGTTTTTAAATGAGTGCAGAAAATCCAGCAGAACGTAAATTTAATGCACACATGCGACAATTCCGCTAGACATAACTTTAAAACTTGATAATGATCACTGACAATGAATAAGAAACTAATCCCGAGGGAATAAATTATCAAAAGAGGCCGATAAAATTTTATCATAAAAGGTTAAAGCCGCTGCATTAAATAAAATTATAGTAAAGCTGCTTTTATAAATTTCTTTAACCTTTTGATATTTGTCACAGTTAGGTTTGACCACGTCGAAACCTAGAAAACCTACCAAAACAATCGCCCTCACCCCCTAGCAGCCCGTAATGTCACGAGTGCAGTCCTCACCCCGTCCAGCCGACGGAGGCGCCGGTATGTCGTGGCGTCGTTGTTTACTCCACTTCTTTCATTTTCATTCCGGCATTATGCTGGTGCAGTCGTGCCTCCTACTTATTGCGTTTTTGGGGATTCAAAGGGGTAAGTCTTCGTAAAGGTGTTCACAGGCCATTAAGTCTTGCAGGATTGTGCCTCAAGTGCTACACCTGTCTTTCTAATGAGCCTCGCGATGCTTGCGCTAAGTTCGACAAGAGCAAAGTGCCTCTGAAGACCTGCGATAGGAAGGAGTTGGAACGAACGGAAGCCATGGCTAAGGAAATGCACCCCAAGATTGGCAAGCTTTTTGAAGTGGATGCTGCCGTCGAGCCTTTATTGCCTCTTAATTGTCTTAAACAGGAGAGCAAATGTAAGTTGAGATTTACAATAGGATTTCAAGTTTAAATAAATAATAATCGAGTGACATGATTATTGATGTTGGCTTAGTGTAACACAATTTTGTATCTTATCTAAATTTTTATTAATTAATGGGTGTTTTGAAATATCCTTGTATTTTCTTGCACAATTGCTTTGAGAAATCATTTATCAGAATTTTTATCCTATCAGCTTGTTTTACTAGTTAATTAATATCGACTGACAAATACAGGGTGATGAAAAAAAGGCGCCCACGATTGAAACAGGCGCGTCCTTTTTTATTGAAACATTGTTACCATCATTCCAAAAATAGTCTAAATAGATTCTTTTTAAAATTTAAACAGTTTGTCTAACAGCACAAAGCGGCAATATCGCACAATTTTCTTTTACTAAAAAACTATTTCACTCAGGTATTTTTCGTATCTAGGAAACCAGTACTGACAGGTATTGTCACCCGCATAAAATAAAAAACTGTAAAGTTTACATAATTTTATTATTTTTTATTTTATAATTTTTTTAATCTTTGACTTTTTGACTTTAATCGTTCAAATTTCACAGAACAAACAACATTGAAAATTGATTTTTTTGTTGCTACCGTTTTAATTGAAAATTACTTGGAAATTTTCTGTATCCTAGAATATTTGCAATGTTGCAACATTGATAAATTTTCTTTGGAGCCAAGAAATGGTATCCTAACATCTTCAATAAAGTTTATTTCAATAGACTTTTTACACATTTTTTTAAGAGCACCGTCAGTTGTATCAAAATCTAGACTTTAACAATGAAATTATTTTAAAACTGTTAATTATATAGATTTCTCTTTTCTAAAAAGGAAAGTCTATATCTTACTGATGAGAGCACAAATCCAATTTTGGTCTTCGAATTCGTCTTTAATAAAAAATTACTTATAACGTGTGGGTTAACATGGGCGCCTTTTTTTCATCATACTGTAGATTCAAAATTGTAATAATAAGATTTATAAGAATTGAAACTCAAAAATAAAAAATGACAGAAAATCAGTTTTATGTGTCATCACTGATAAGTTTACAATCACGTACATCTCCAGTTACTCAGGCATGTTCACTAACGGAATTTTTAATAATGATTGAAATAATAATCCTTTGTAGATATAATAATCTGGACTTACATGAATATATACCTATAAATAGGATGATAAATTAATACAGTCCAAATGAATTGATTTAACAAAACAAAAACAACTAAGTAAAACTATTGTTTTTAAAACAAGCAGAATTATTAAGTTAAAAAAAGGTATTAGTTATTATTATTGTTGTAAGG